AATTTAACTTAATCAGCGATTGGTGGCAAACAACATGTTAAACATCTTCTTACACAATAAATGTGATAAAAAAATATGGACTATATTTCATCAAGATTTCACATATCGTGCGGAAACGAACAAGAATAGAACAAAACAACACTCAAGCTCACTATTGTTCTCAGCAATCCATTTCCGGAACGACCAAAGTCTCTCGACCATGAACATCGAAGTCGATGACAATTTTAATAGTATCGCGCTGAAATTGAAACCGAAAAGCCATCGTCTCGTTTATCGTCGTTATTTCTCTTCCGAGATATTTCACGATGCTGCAACTTAAATCATCAAGTTCCAATTGAATATAATTATTCGATCGATTAATATACCATCGTTTAATATATAACGTAAAATATATAACGTTTAATATATAACGTTTAATATATAAAGTAAACTTTTTCATCAAATTATCCAACGGAGATACAATGAAATTGCACGATGATATTTGTTAGAATTGATGCTACGGCATTCCACGTAGCTCATTACGAATTTCATTTTGCTGCAAGCGGTGATTCAAAAAATCCGCCGCATTGCGAGCATAGATAAGCTTATGCGAACGAACGCGTATTCTAATTGCGCTATTAACGTAATTAGAGCGGCGATGGTAAAACGGAATGACGATTCATCATTTCGCCGTCATTTCCCGAATTTATCGATCAGCCAATTGTTATCGCTGTGTTATACTCTTTAAAATAACTCCTTGAAACTTGCTATATGATTTTTTGTCACCATTTTATTAAATTTTGAACATTAGAGCTACATGAAATGATTTTTTAAATTTTTGTTCATTCAACTGTATTGTTGTATGATTTTTTTTTTACAAAGTTATAACATTTTGATTAATCATTTTTCACTTTTACTCCACTTAACTTGATTTCATTCTCTTCGTAGTTTTTAACACAATCCATGCATAAAAGCAGCACCAATCGAAATCGACTTCATAATGAACAATAATAAGGAAATTATGAATGAATCTTGAAATAAATGAATATTGAAAAAAATCCCTTAAACCTTCTTCTTTTCACTTTTCACAAAATCATTTTTCACAAAATGAAACACTGAAATTTATACTATAATGCTATTCGAGTTTTCGTGTAACAAATTTCGTTCGTCGCAGATAATCGCATGAAATTCGTGGAAACTTCATTCATCGCAGATCGATTCCGTTTCTAAGAGTTTACAATAGTCCTTCAATCTCTTTTGACACGTTCTCCTTTCTGACGTTGAAAAAAGTTAACGTAAAAAACATCTAACCGATAACCAATTCCTTTTCAATATTTTCCTATCCATCCCACCGAGTGCTCGTCTAAGGTTGCCAATGCAATCCCTGGCGATGTGACACGAGGATCCATTAGATTCGCGAATTCTCGAGGATCGAAGCGAAACTCTGACATAAGATGTATTCGATTACATTTCGTTTGGCTGTAAAATATCCAATATTATAAATATCTTACGTTAGCTTGACGTTGTATAGGTATCTAATAAGTATATAAGATACTATCAATATCTTATATTATTTATATAATTTCGATTTTAATTTAATTATCAGCATAAGGTTATACAGTTTCATCGATGATAATAGTTCTCGAAATTCGATCGCGGTTGTATCTCTTGCGCCGAAATGACACGCGCATTTCCGGATTCTGTGCTCACTGCGCGAAATCCAATAGAGCTTAGGTGTGATAGGTGGCTCAGAATCGAACTTTCTCTCATTCGGCTACACCGTGGAAGAGGATTGAAGAACTTTGCTCGTAAATGTGTTTCGTCTCTACCCTTCTTCATTCTCTTCTCACGATCCTATTCTTTTTTTTTTTTTTTTCAACTTGAAATCCGATGAAACGAACTCGGAGAAAATTTCAAGTAAAATTCGTTGATGGAAATTTTGCGTCTTAGATTATGTTCGATTACATTTTCTTATACTCGTAGCGAAAAAGAGAGAAGCTCGCGGGAATATCTTCCACCTAGATTCGTTAGCGATGCTCGAAAGTTGCGATTGCAATTTCTACGAAGCTGTTTCACGTCGGATACATGGGATACATGCAAGTGCAATCCGCAATCGCTAAGGAATCCCTGGGAAGGAATTAAAGCTGACACGAAGAGCTCTCAAAATATCTACCAACACAATACCGCCGTCGCGTTCACGTCGTCACAAATAAGCGCACACGCGAATCTTCTCCCTGCATGAAATTACGGAATAACGCGTAATTAGAACGTTGGCATTAGAGTTACGTTTATTATTTCTGAAGAGAGTTGGACTAAGATTCAAAACGAGAGAAGTCTCAACGTTGCATGTTCTTGACAATGCCACAAACAAATCTTTCATTTTTCGAAAACTCATGTGAGAGTAGTCGTGTTAACATCGATTTCCAGTCGAGAAAGATTTCATTTTATTGCTAACTAGTCCTACCCCATTAAAGCTGAATCAATATCGCGTGGATCTATTATTTCCCTTGTAAACAGTTATAAGGATCCTCTTTGCGCGAATAAATCCAGCTGAAGCTCAAAGCATCTCGTCCTGAATTTCAAATGAAATGCTGAAAGGTTCGAGAAGAAGGTGCGAGACAGAAACGAATCTTGAAGCATCCCTGTAATTAGCGTTTCATCTCACTTGAAATGTTATCACGTTTTCCTTTACTCCTTAGTAATGTCTACATTAGCATAAATTCCGTTTATCAAACATGTAGCTCCGGCAGGTATTCCCTGCATTTCTTTTTCTGTTTTTATCTCTCCTTTTCTTTAATTCATTATACACAATTATTTAGTGTCATGAAAATTAATTTGTCGTAACATGACACAGTCAATTCAGACTGACTTTGCTACAAATTCAATGTGTTGTATTTTAATTTCTTACAACATTGAAATGATTGCATTGTCACTAAATGCAAATTAATGATCATCGAAGTTTTAGTCTTTCATTTTCATTGAGAAGAAGACTATTGATCGGAGTGAACTATAAGACCAGTTAGATAATCTTTTGAATCGCGTTCGACGCATGAATTGAAGCAGACCATCGAACGATATCGCACAACGGAATTTAATAAAACCGAACGCTAGGCCATTGCATAAGACGTGGCTCAGAGAAATGAACGTGGAGCGTGCTCTGCATATGTACATACAAGCACTTTTCCTCGGTTTTCCGGATCGCTTTTTTTTTTTTTTCTTGCTTTGGCATAATGTCAAAGTGATTTTACGTACCCGTAAAAAGACGATCTTCAACAGAGACGATCCCCATGGACGCCCGATCAACGCGTTCCTGTCACAGATCAGGAACTACTAAATATCTCGTTATTTTCTTGATGAAAGCAGAACCTTTCCAATTCTTATCGGCTCTGTAGACCAACGCTCAAGCTGTGCACTATAGCTCACTCATCGAGTATAAAATCTTGCCCGCGACGTAGCCTCGTCATTATCCCTACCATTCGATTGACGATGTGTCAACCCTTTCAATATCAGTGATCAAGATCGTACTAGTCGTAAACAAGTCTGCTTCCCAATGATGTTCTTGCATACCTAGGTGGAGTCAACTCGGATACATGGGGTCGTAGCTCCCCAAAGGCTTGGGATAAATGCCTGCAATCTTCCTATGGATCTCGCTTTGACACTCGGCATACTTCTTTTTTCCGTATCTTCTTCATGAAAATAGTTTTTACTATAAATCTTTATTGTACTTCTTTGATCTGAAAGCGCCTCCTTTATACGTATACATGTGTATATAGACGAAACAATAAAAATAATATCCGCATGACCTTGGTTTTCATTTTATCTACTAAGATGTATCTCATGATTTATAGATTTCGCTGATAAACACTCATAAAAATCGTTATCTAAAAAGACATACACATATAGTTCTGGAAAGGATATAGAATAGTAGATTGTAGATATTAAGAAGTATCTTGTACGAAATTTATTATTCAAAAATACATTTGCATTTTATTTGCATGGTAAGGTATTATACACTGCTCAAAACAATTAGAGGATCACTATTGTCTTGTTAGATTAACACGTTATTCGTATGATGCTGTAACAAAATTGTCTTTAAGGCATTCGTTGAAAAAGAAATGTAAATACATATGAAATATTAACAATGGAAGTAACACAAAAAACGATCCTCTAATTATTTTGAACAATATATAACAATAAAAGATCAACCTTTCAAATATATAATAGAATATAAGTCAGTAGTTAAATGTTAAAATAATGTTATGATTTTGTTTGGTTAGAGTAACGTGCGAAGGAAATTATTAAAAAAAAATTTCTTTGATGTGATTAATTATAAGTGTCAATTATAAAAAAACTTATTTTACTCAGAATACTTGAAATATTATCCTGCAATTAAGTCCCTCAAAAAATCCACTTTTTATTTACATTTTATAAAGCAAGTCAAATATCACATATGTGTATATATGTATGTCTATATATCACATATATCTATATATATAGAGCATGCCTGGTTTATTCGTATAGATGCTGTCACTTCTTTAACAATTAAAAATACGAAATGTATAGTTTGCAGAGGGACATATAATACTATAATCGTTTTATTGTCATTTTGCTTTTGTATCGTCGATTTCATATAGAAATATGAACGTTACCTTCAATTTTTTAAATGGAATGATATATATTTTAATCTATCGTTTAATATTATATCAAAAAATCATTAAAAGGAAATGTTAACATTACTTTTATAAAATTTGCACATAAAAGAAAGTATGAACATAAGAATACTATCTTTGTCTTCTCTCGTTTTTCATATGATAGATTTTACAGAATATCTTCAAAATTAATAGTTTCTTGACATATGTGGATTAATACTTTTTTCTAGACACTGTCAAATTGTATTGTATTTATATCAATATAAATTAATGGAACAATGGTATCATTTTATTTAAAAAACTGAAAATAATCTTCATATCTTGGTAAAAAATAAAATAATAATAAAATAATTACTCTGAAAACATTTTTTAATATTTTCAAGTTCATAGTTAAGAAAATGACAGTGTATATTAATAAACCGCATATACTATATATATTGAGCATTAACAAATGGTTGATAGAAATCTTTAACTTGAAAACTATGTTAATGGCATTTTAAATTTCAACAATTTTTTTCTAATCATTTCCGTTTTCGTTCTTTTTAGAAAATCTGCGAAAAAAATGTATTCTAATAAGTTGGTCATTTTTAGCGACATATATCTTGATCACTAATTTTATATAACTAATATTTCTTTTGATTCCTTTTATACGAAAAGAGAGATATATTCGATAAAAGAATTTTTAATTTGACACGAGATGATACATCTCTATACGAAAAATTTCGAAATCAAAAACATTAATGTCTTAAACTGCTTTATCTATTATTCTATTATATTGTCTATCAATTTACTGCTTTAATTTACACGAATATGTAACTTTCTATTTGAACGTTACATTATCACAGAAAATGTACTGTACAGTATTATATAATACATGTCTGTATATTTGTTACAATTGGTCGCTATTATTTCCTTCAAATTAAAGCCTCCTTTTTAAATCATGGAGAACATAATTTTATTATTTTTGACTAGGTGTTAGTCATCATTCATCAATATCTCTCGTCAATACTAAAATTTTCATATTCAAATACATTCGAATACATGTCATATTCAAAATATCTAGGAAACACTAAAGCTTGGTTAATTTCATAACATTAAAATCCGATAACCAGGCTTCATTTGTAAATATTATTGTTTTATATAACAATATAAATAATCATAATGTTAAAAACAAATAACAATAAATTTTATAAAAAGTATTTAAATAATGTTCCTTATAGAATATTTTCATTCAAAAGTATAAATAAGTCAGAATTTTAGCTCCTATATACATACCTAAATACAAGTAAAATACTTTTAGATATCAAGTTTGAATTTCTGAAATTAAAATAAAATTTTAAATGCATCAGTTAAATATACATAATATAATATAATCACATACGTTTTCATCATTTATTCCTTTATATCGCACGTGCAAACATCTGTTGCACTCTCCATGCATTCTGATGGGCATTCTTCTTTCATTTTTATTTTTACATCACAAATTTTAGTTTTCGTCGGTGGCGGTTCATATTTACATATTACAGCGTATATATCACCACCCAATCGAAGTGCTAACCATCGATTTTTAACAACTGCTAATTTTAAGCATTCGCAAGTCATCTTTGCATGAAGATTCGTATGAAGTGTTCTACCCATTCCTTCTAATACGATAAGATCAACTTTATGTTTCACCATCGCGAGACATAAATCTAAGTTCAATCGGCTATTAAATATAAGTCAATTCATTAAAACAATTATAAAGAAAACTTAAAATAATTATGTAATTATATTACGGTAGTTACCTTAAATCAAGACAAGGGCCAGCTTGAGCTGTCTCCATAGCAATTAAACGATTTTCTTTTAAAGCGTGTCTAATAACCTTGCATATTTTTGCTGCATCTCGTAATGTTACAACCAACTCTGGATATGTTACATCATTTAATGCTGGCATAGAATTAGCACACAGTATAACCTAAAATAATTATTATTTTAATTTAGTAAATATATTGTAATCAAATTCAAAATAATATACGGCAACTAACTTTTGTTCCTCGTTGCAATAAATCACGCGCAAATGGTAAAATTCCCAATACTATATCAACTCCACTGTTGTCAACGAAAATAGCAGCACATTTATGAGGTGGACCAGTTTTCAATCTTTCTATCCAATCATCCAAGTCATCTTGCAACCAAGGTCTACCTAAATTTAAGAAGAATCAATTTTATTAATATCTCTTTTAATATGATCATAAATATCGCAAGTATGCAGCATGTACCCGGTATTTTTGCTTGAGCTTCGGCAAAACCAAAATCTGTTGTTTCCATTAAATTTGCGACAGCTTGCGCACCCCAATCAAACATATTACCACTCAGAACTCCCAGGATCAAAGCTTTTATTTTTTCTGCTCCTTCCAATTTATCAAGAGTTGTTATCCGACTTTTTAGATATGTTAAGGCTTCTTCATTCTCTTTTTTCTTTTGCTTATATATAAAATAAATATTTAAAAAATTAATTAAATATATTTTTTCAAAAATCACAATATTGACAATGTAAGAGGAAAGTTTTTCAAAAACTCACATGTAAGTATGGATCAGGAAAATCGAATTCTTTCATGCAATGTTCAATAGTATCCAATAATACTCTCACAGTAAGTGTCCCATAAGCGCTGTAACATAATATAATTTAACATCATATTACAAATCATAAAATAAACAATTTTATTATTGAGCTTTACTTACAATGGTTGAAGATGTAGATAATGTAATCTGTTAATGTACTTTTCCTTCAATTTTGTTGCTCTATCTTTTGCAGTTGGACTATGTGGCTGACTATGAATAGCTCTAGCCACAAATTTATCCACTGATTCTTCAAAACATTGAAGCCAATAATCTCTAAAAATATTAAAAATTACTATATATATAATTAGATCTAGCATTTATAACTCACCTTGCTTCTTTATCTTCAGCAAGATCAGTTGTATCAGGATTGTAAGTTGCAGGATCTTTCAAAAGTGGACAAAATGTTACAGCAGTTTCTGCTTGATCAATTTCTAATTGATCTACTTTAATTCCAAGATTAGTAGATATTGATTCTTTAAATCCTGAAGAGCCTGCATAATTTTCCAGCCAACTACATTCATCAGATTGTCCAGCACCATACAAGAAAGCTCCAATTGCACCAACGTAACCTTCATGGCGAAGGAAAAGAGGCTTTACTTTACCCTACATATTTAACAAATGTTTGTTGAAAAGAATCGTTTTAAGAAGAAAAATTTTGTTTTGCATTATAATTATAAAACAAAATAATTAAAAATTTAAAACTAACATTTGACCAATATTTGATAGAACATGAAATAGTATGCATTGACAAAGGATGATTACGAAGAAAATAACCACAAAAGTAAACTTTATTCATTTTATGCACAGTTGCATATAAACTTGCTATTTGCCCAATATCATTGCTTACAGTAAGTAAAAGACTTCTAGCAAGATCTGCTTCAGAAAAATTTGGTTTTCCTGAAATACAAATAAAAAAACTTATTTTTTTAGAGTTCTTTATCTTTTAGCTGTTTACTTCCTTACCTTCACCACTATAATAAGTAACCTTGCCAAAAGAAGATGCAATAAGATCTCCAGATAAACCTTGTGAGGAATAATCACCTCCATAAATGTCTTTCACTAACATATCAACATTACGATGATCTCCTCTTTCTGCAAGTTGCAGCAATTCATCAAAGCCCTAGCAGTGTATTTTTAATCATCATTTTTACTTATATTTTATAGTAATATTATTCGAATATAAAATTATATTCATATATTAAAATATATAAAAATATTAAATCACAACTACTACTAATACCTTCTTTTTAGTGAGCAAACAACCTAATCCCCAAAATGTTCCCCCTCCTGTAGCTGTGCCACCAACTCTCTCAAATACTTTATCAGACTCAACCTGAAAATATCATAAAAATTTTAAAAATAATATCAACTATAGTATAATAATAAGTGTACTAATAATAATTATTCTTTAAAAGTAATTAATTGCTATATTCATGATTTACCTTAAGGACACTGACACCGCTACCAATATTTACTAACATATATGGAAATATATTAGGACCAGCTTTTTGAAATTTGTATTCAGGATTTCCTTGTCTTTCAAATTCAAACGCTTCACAAGATATATTTTTCAGTAAAAAATTACAACCTTTTATTAGACAAGCAATTTCATCTTCTTTATCAACTCTAAAATAATGTTTTAGTTTATTTATTAAATTACATTTCTTTAACATTTGTTAAATTGTAAATGTTGTAACAAATGTTAAATTGTAAATGTACACTGAAACTATAAGTTTTTACAGATAATACTACAAATATTTTAATTATCTTATAATTTTAAATACTTACATTAAACCTAATTTTTCTTGTAGCAAACCATTATATTTGTAAGCTCCTCCACCAGTCACTTTAATATTTTTACCATGAAATCTCTCAACATCTACTAAGTTCTGTTTTACAAAATCCAAACAATTTTCAATATATCTTGTTTCAAACTTAACAAAGTGAAGTCTATTGCCTTCATGTACTTTGTATGCACGTTCTCCACTATTTCCTAAGCCTGCATCCTCATACAATGCCTTACGGTAACTAATTGTTGAATAATAAGCTATTTTTGTCAAAGATAAACCTGTGGTTAAATTAAAACCAAAACAACCTTTATTACAATTTATTATTACTAAAAAATCACAGCTGATTGTGTTCAATTTTTAAAAGTTAATGAATTAACAATTTCAAAAAATATTTAAAATATACTCGTGTTAAATTAAATTTATGCATAAATAAAAATTACCAAAGGTAATAAAATACAAAGAATACATACCAATGTCAATCGCAAATTTTTGAGCATTTTTTAAATTTGCAAACACTTCGACCGCACTTGGCAATTTTATGGAATGAGTTCGTTCACCGTCAATTTTCGTTTCCATTTTACATTAACTTTAACAAATTACTATACTTCGAATCACGTAGATGCTTTTACGAATAGTAGACGGTGTAGGAACTACATCACGTTAAATATCAATATTATCATCGTTTAAACATTTGTTAGTAGATATCACGTACACATGTAACGAAGAAAAATTTTCTTTCTCCAGACATACATAAATTACATGAGTTAAATCTTTGTTTACTTGAAACTTATCACGTTAATTTAAAAATGGCTATTAACGTTAGACAGATGGAAGCGCTGTTCAGTACACGTGGCGCTAAAATTTTGATTTTAATCGAGAAGTAGAATGCTTATTCATATATAAATTAATGATAATACGCTTGAATATTCGAACTTAATGAAAAATTTTATATTGAAATCAAAATTGTTAAATAACGAAATCTTTTTACATATATATGTATTTCATTCCTATAACAATCCAATTGTGACTGTAATTCTGATTATATAGCAATATAACTATAAATACTACTTATTTGATAAGGGGATAACAATATATAGTAAGTATAAAATCAAGTAAGTGTAAGAAGTATGGATCAATTATATTTTTTTCATTTCGAAAATTTTTAATATATACACAATTTAAAACATATTAAATAAATAAGCTTCAACAAAGCTTTTAAAATTAGCTACTGTATGAATACTTTTCACACTTACTGTATGATATTTTATTTATTTTTTTTTAATTAATACGTGTCATTATAATTAAATGTAAAATATAAAATTCAAATCAATTAAAAATAAATTGTATAATGTATTTTATAACAATTAAAATATACTTGTCTGATTCAGATTTTACATAACATATTCATAGAATAAATAGTTCTATTAATTTTTATCAGAATATTTATAAAATATAATACAATAATTTATAGAACATTTGCAATTAAAATTAACTATATCGCACTTCCATAAATACTTATAGTTTTACTGTATGTACAAAAATTTGTTGATTATAAAATAAGTACCAGCTAATTGTATGTAAATATTATTATCAAATACTATTTGTTTAAAAAAAAGCAATATTATTCCTAAGTATTTTTAAATATATATATATATATGTAAACTGACAACAAATATGCTTAATAACTTGGAAATTGTGTAAATACTAAAAATTCAATAATTAATATAATTTAGCATTTTGTACGTGAGTAGTCATTATGAATTAAATTTTTTAGTATAATACATCATCAAAAATTGATTACGCAATGTTATATTTATATGTATGTTATATTAAAATTTTTATATTGTCCAATAAATTAAACTAATATTAATTGCGTAGTCATTTATATACTTTTTTAAATACATTGTTTATATATTAAATATGAGCGTATATATTGCTCTATATTAATAACTATTTTTTATATTACTCTTTATTGTATAAAATCCATTTGAAATACAATATCAGGTGTCATTTCTCTGACACAGACCCTGTTTATGAAAATTATACACGTTTTAAAATTTTTATTCAGGAAGATTTTGTATTTTTTTCTTTTAATAAAAGAGGAATCGATTTAAATTTAATATTTTGTAATAAATTATATGAACCATATGTACAAAATTTATGTGACACGAAAGGAATGTAAAATGCTCTGAAAAATCGATGTGATCTGAAAAATAAATTTTAATTAAATTAATAATATTAATTTAACACAATAAATGTAAATAATATAAAAAAAAATTCAAAGATGTAATTTACTCACCTTGCAGAATTTAAAAATTTAGACGATCTAATTATCGTGAAATTATCATTTAATCGAGAATAATTTGGTTCTAAGATCGTTTCAATATCAATATCCAGATCTAATATAAAATGACATTTGTCTAAGCTAAACTATAATAAAAATTATAATTGATTAAATTAAACAAAACTTATATTTTTAATGTATTTATATTATGATATAAATATAATCTTACATAACGTGTAGGTTCTTCTCTATTCATATCATTAAAATAAGGTTGTACAATACTAGTTGCATTTTCATGAACTAAAAAAGGTTGAGGTAACTGACCCTTAAACTCTGATCTTAGATACTGAAGTTTCCAACTACAATAAATATGTATAAAAAAATGAGTAAGTTTTAAATTGTACTTATTAAAAAGTATATTACTTACTTATTTGATGGAAAGAAAAAGCTACTTGGAAATCTGTGCCATTCTTTACCGATACAAAAATTAATATTAATATCCTTAGATATCTCTCTCTCTAGACCAAGTTTATTAGTATCAATCATTACTTCCATTGGTGCATAATAACCTAATATAAAAGAATGATATCTTAATTAAAATATATTTTAATATTTATACACTTTATTAATAATAATTAATAATATATTTTGTAATGTACTTTGAAATATATAAACTTTTTACCTTTATATATTGCCAGTGATCTTGATATTCCAAGAAAACTACATATCAAAATAGCAAAAAATGTTATATGTACAGTGTATTGTAAATAATGATAAGCAATATGTAAAGAACTAAGTTTTGTTCTGATAAAGAAATATAGCTTCTGAATAGTATCTATAGCTATACTTCCAGCCAAACAAATCATTGGATATACAGGAAACAAAAATCGTTCTTCCTGTAATCAAGGCAAATTATAGACATAATAATTATTTGTCACCTGATATGTATTTGATATTAATCCTTACTCTGTGAGATTTTTCGTGTTCGACAAAATTTGAAAAATATCGGTCTTTTCCAAACAATCTGGTAACAAGCTAGCAGTAATAATATATATAAACAAATAGATTAAATTTTTTATTTTAATCTCAATTTAGAAGGTCTATCTAAATACTATATGAATTTTTTCAGATTTCTATGCAGTAAAAAATGTGTCGAACGCGTATTTAAAATTTGTGGTAACTGTAAAAACATTTACAGAGTAAAGAATAATTATTGAATAATCTTATTTAATTTACTTTATGAGGTTGTAAGAAAAACACTAAAAACCAGAGATATAATGGTGCCAATGAATACCAATAAGATAAACATAAACGATCTCTTGGTCTAGCTGGTACAATTAGCCATACTAAAACCTGTAAGATTCATTAAAATATTATTAATTGTAGACTTCAAACTATTAACTTCAAATTTGAATTTGATAAATATTACCAATCCAAACGGAGCCCAAAGTGCACCAATAAAAACGAAATTGAAGTTTAAAAATCCATTATAAATATAATAATTGAAAGGTTCTGTTCCATAAATATTTGGTCCATGATTAGTAAAAACATTGTATATTATAATGTTTAATGGTGCTATTACCAATTTGCCATAATACATTGAATCGACCCATATCATTGGTACTAAAATAACAGTACCAGATATTATTACCCACTTGATAAATTTACTCCATTCTTTTTTATGTATTAACATTTCCATTGCAATTGGTAATCTGTAAAAAATACAAAAAAGATTTAAAGCACTATTAAATTTTTACTGTGTAAACTATTTTTATTCTATGTATATAAAAAATATACCCAAGTAAAGCAGCAAATGGCCATCCTAATAAAGCAGATATAGCTGTAGCAAAAATTGCTAATTCATATCGACGGCCATACCAAGCTGCTATTGCAACAGTACTCAAATACCTGTATAAAAAGCATACAAATTGACTTACATAATTTAATTATTTCGACATTCTTTAAAATATTATTGATTTCACCTAACGCACATTGAAAAAGAAGATGGTAAAAAGGCAGCACTAGCAATATACATGCCAGAACTGAGAATTAGAAATACTAATGTTAATCTTCCTATATGGATCCCAAATTCCCTGCATACATTTCTATTAGAAAGGAAATTATAATTATTATCTTAATATAAAGTTTATCATTCATGAATTTATAATTCAACAAATATACATACTTATAGAAATATACTTCAGATAAAGCACAACCCACGGATAATAAACATCTTACAAAATAAAAAACTAGAACAGGATTTGGTTCTAGTAAATAATGATAAAGTTTTGCTGGTACCATATGAATCAACAAATACATATATGATCTTAATGCATATTGTGGACTATATTCCCATGTTTGTTGACCACTGCCATAAAGCAGATAGTGACTCTAAGACAAAATGTAATGAAAAAAATATATTTTTATAAAATAAATAACTCATTTATTAAAACAAAATAATACTGTACAAATAAATTTATACAAATCATTCGAACTTATTATTAAATCTTACTGGTTCCCAATAGTTATAAGTTTCATCACAATCTGTTATGTGACTCCAAATAGCAGAACAAAATCTAGCTGACAAAAGTAGCTTAAATGCTGTATCCACACCGGGATAAATAAGACCAGTATCAGACGTTTCTTCTGGTCTGAAACATATAACCTTAATTTTATTTGAGATTTGTATTTAATTTTATGTACATTTATGTGCATTTAGTCAATGACTCTACTAAATAATTCAGTGACGAATTAAATACAATAGTAAACTAACACAATATTACTTATACTTGTCAAGATAATTTAATATTAAATTGCCAGGAAAGGTTAACCGGCATACAATATACTTAACGTCATTAAACATAACAGGATAACAAAAGAATTCTCTATTCATTTTTTATTATTAAGAAAGAAAGAATATTGTGTCTACTTTGAAAATCTTCTGCCATTCAACTTTTTCAGTTCTTTCTTAGAAATAAAAAGTTGACGTTGACGTTGATTCGGCGCCATGATTTCTTCAGTGTTTGAAGGTTAACCAAATTTTTGTTCAACTATAGCATTTTAATATTTTTTTGACGTTGAAGTCAATTCTAATAATTTTTATTTTACTAGTAAAAATAAATATTTTCTTAATTATAATTAAGATTCAATTAATTCTAATTCATATAAATATTTTATATACAGCTTCACATTTACTTTAATCATTGACCAACGACGGAATAGATATGACTACGATATATATGTAACGTAGTACTATCATTATAAAACAATAAAATAGAATACTAATTTCAAGCATAAAACAATTAACTAGAACAGTGATCTTTATTTGCGATTTATAGTAAAAAAATTTTATTGAATATAATTGAAATTTGTTTGAGAAGTCATTTAGATAGGAAAAGAGCCAAATTAAACAAATGAAAATCATTAAATTAATGAAACTTGAAACTAAAATTTAAAATTAAAATACATTTACTTGCCTTAGACTTTAAAGAATAATATTACAAACAGTTTGTTAAATAAATTATCTTCTTTAAAGATTAGAGGGAGAAGCTATTTTTATTTTTAATTAAGTAATATACCTTTGTAAAAATGATTAATGCTTAAAGATTACAGCGCCAATGAAACAGTAAATTATATGGTTGTTAATCATAAACAATACATAATCAATATCCGTGATCGATCTACATATATACGTATAATTTTTTGGCGGAAAGTACAGTAAGAAATTGTGCAATACAATTATTATTTTAGATATATTTTTACAAGTGTGTTTGATTAAAAATAGTGAACATTATTTAAAAGAATGGTTACATATATATAATTCAGTCATTTGTTGATTAGAAATAAATGTAAGTAAGTACATATATATTTTCATAAATATACAGAACTCACGAAAATATTTGAACATTCATATAGAAAATATTTATGTATATTACGTGTGTGATATGAAAATGTTTATATTGACACTATAATCGTATTGATATTGTTTAAAATATACATAATAATTGTTAAATATACCATATTGCGGCCTATCAATCATAATTAATTTTTACGTTTGTTTAAATATCTACGTATACTTTTTTCCTGTGTGCAATATATACTTGCATCATATATCTTACGGTTTTTATATATATTTTTAGATTATACGCACTAATTATTATAATCAAATTGTACATACACAATGGTATACATACAATGATAATGAATTCTTGAAATGTTTCATACATATTTATGTAAGATTTCTACAGCCGTTCTAACACTGTCATAAGCAAAAATTTGCATTTGTGTATATACATGTTAAAAGCGATGTATTTTTCATTTTGTATTTTATTTTAAAAGGCATTGTATTCTATGTAATTATATTCTATATTATTATCTCATTAATGTAACCGATTCCATTCATAATATATATATATATATATCCAGTCATATAAAGTGAGGCAATTTTGAATATCTCGAATATCTCCGTTGTTTTTAAAGATGTGAAAAAGCTTTATTAATAAAATTTATTCAGAGTGGATTATGATATGATAGCAATTATTTTTTCTGTAGATTTCAACGAGTACACTAGTGTGTAGCTTATTTCTTTATTTTCTAAATTTTTTTTATTTTCTAAATTTCACTCGCCTGACCGCACCTAGATCTCAAAACGCAGTTTATTTTGAGAATATTGCAGTCTGCCTATTATTTAAATTTTAAGCAGTCCGCCTAGCTCTACGTTCTCAATGTTTCCATAGTAATAATAATTGTTTAGAAATGGAAATTAAACCCACTTACACATTTATACCCCTTGCACAAAAAAATTTTGTTGGAATACATGATAAAACAACTCAAGAATTTCTTACTAAATGGTAATATTGTTACCTATTCTTTTAATTTATATATACATGCAAAATTTCTTATCCAAAAGTTGAATGTAATAATAAACTTTTTACCGATCTTACAGGGGAATAAAAGGAAATTTTGTTATTCAGCATTTTACATTTAACGAACCTTTTCAACAATATCATAAATATCATTTGGCTGAAGTTAGTTAATTATTACATAATAATATACTTTAACTAATATACTTTTAATTTAAACTTAAGATAATATTTTATTATCTTTCCATTTCTAGGCTTTCTTTCAAGATAGTATTGTAGCTAAAGAATTATTAACAAAACAAGGAAATGATTGGGTAAAACAGGGTAATAGTTTTTTATAACATAGAATTAATTATCAGTAGTGTTAACTTTTGTGTTCTAATTAATAGGCATAACAGCATCAAGTGTAGAAATAAAGCCTATTCCTTGTTCTGTCTTAAACATGAGTTTTTTTAACAAATTAAAAGACCCTGAGAATGCAGTTGTATATAAATCTGGAATTATTTGTAAGAGATACGATATGGAAATAGAAAATTTCTTAATCTCTGATAATCTTAGAAGGGTATGGCTTTTCACTATAGTTAATTTATTAGTAATTTATTAGTATTTATTTGTAATAAATTTATAGATGTTATTGGATGAAGAGTGCCCAGAATATAATTTATATTCTAAAGATGAACGTGAAGAATTTATATTTTGTATTTTTCAAATGCTTGTTCTTGGAGGAATATTGTGTCAATATGAGGATGTTTTAAATCCATATTTAAAAGTGACAAAGGCTATCTATAAAGACTTAATAAAGTTGTATGATACTTTTATAAACATTTCGTTTATGTATTGAATAATAATTATATTCTTTTAATTATTATAGGGTACAAAAGAATAAAGATGCAGATTTATCAATTAGTACAGTAGTTTTGCAAGTAATAGCTAAAGATAGTAAAGGACAAGCTTATTTTCCATGTGATCCATATCATAAACAAAATATAGGATTTTTATTAATAGATGGTATTACTCATGAGATTACAACATTCTTACATCAGTTTGGAGAATATTGTCTTTTACAATAAGTATAAAAAGAATTTGAAGAGTTATACTACAAATATATATTAACAATAAACTGTCATTTATTATGTAAATATTGAAAATTTTTATTAATTCATTACATTGTATTGTGCATTATTTACATTATATATTTACTGTGTATCTAACCTTTATTGGTTTGTTGAAATATGCTAACAATAATTTCAAATTTGGTAACAAATGTTTTGATTATACAATTTATAAATATATTTTGGTATCGCGTAGATTAATAAATAACTTAGACTATAATTATTAATTATGCATTATTTTGTTCTGTACATAAAATTTATGCTACTACACGTGAATAACATAAAACTATCGTTTCATATCACATTTGAAATAATAGAAATAGTAGTATAATAACTTATAAGTTTGTTTGTTTGTTTGTATCATATAAGTACAATTTTACAATTAAGTACGATTAAGCATAAACTAAAATTTTAAAATATTAGATAATGAAAGATTAAATGGAAGAAGAATAAGTTTTAATCACAGCACTTTTTTTATGATTTGTAAATATTTTTATGATATTTTTTTTGTTCTTTAATTAGAGTATTATCCCCTATTGTAAATATGTATGAAACTTTTTCTAAACACTAGCCATTTAATCCTTACAATAACAGTATTTTCGCAAATGAAATAAAGAATTTTCTACACATCTTGCTTGAGACCCATACATATTGATCCTACTAATATCTGAAATCTAAAATACAAATCTCAATTTATCTTCTTATTTCTATGCTGTTGTTTTTAAATCGTAATATAATTGAATTACAAACTTACTTTGGTCGAAAAAACATTCTTTTTAATATCATAATTAATACTGACTTCAAACAAACCATCTCCTGGTACCGTTTTTACTTTCAATTGATAAGTTTCAGTAGTTAATTTTGTTTTTGCACTAAAATCTCCTATAAAACCATCTTGATCTCCAGACTTATAAAATTTCAATAAACCTGCAATTTTATATTTTAATAATAGTATCAACAAAAGGCAAGAATTATAATTGTTCGCTTCTTGTTGTACCTTTATTAGGTATAAGTTTGGCAGCCCACAATATTTTTTTAAATTTCAGTTCTTCACATATGTCACGATGATCTTCCGTATAAGTATTAAGAAATTGAATAAAATATTTGGCTGCGGCAATCACATTATCATCATCAATTGAAATTTCTTGCCAATTAAGACATGCACACCAATGTGGTTCTATAAATGCATCTGCACATGTTCTATCTAATGGTATCTGAATCGTTAAACAATATTATTTCTATTAATTTTTAAACTTAATTATAAATCTATAAAATGTAGTTTGAAATAGTTTAAAAAATGTTAAATTAAAAAATTTAAATATATGATAACTCTATTGCATTTTTTGTATAATAAAACAATTACTAAAAATCACAGTAAATACAACATTTATATTAAATCTATGAAATATTTACCTTATCAAATAGGCTAATGGCTCTTTGACGCCGATCTCCAACTTTTGGTATTTCAAAATTTAATATGCTTTCTAATGTTTTGTGCACATCAAATGGTGTTGTTAAATAATGTGTATTGTGTAGAAAATTTGCATAAGCTTCTGGATAAACTTTTTTAAACCAAGGAGGAAAAATAAACGAAAAGAATGGTAGTCTTTCCTCTTGTTTACCTTGTAAAGTATTACGAATTTTTGCAAACCTGAAAAACAAAATTTGCAGTATTAGTTTTTTTTTATGCGTAACTGTATTTAAAAATACAATTTTGTATATTATTCGAACCTATGTCCATGATCGCTCATTAATATCAATACTGTATTATTTAAGTGACCAAATTCATGTAAGTCTTTTAACCAATTATATAAGTCTTCATCTACTACACCTATGTCATTATAAGAATCATGTGAAAGTTCTCCATGAAAACCAAATAAAAACTTTGGTTGATGTTTGTAGACATTAAAAATTTCTTTAATATAATTCAGCATTACCTGTAAGAATAATAGTAATATATGATTCTATAATTTAATATAATGAATATATTAAATATTAACGTAAGAAATCAAATATACCATATGTCTAGGAATGCTTCCAATGCAAAATTTGTTGTAATATCTAAAATACGGTGCAGCAGCTAAATAAAATGTTCTCATATAATGATCAGTCGGTTGTTTCTTAAAACCTTTTAAACGATATGTGAAAGTTCCAATATGATGGACATCTTCCATAAATCCTGTTATATAATTGTTCTCTTTGTACTGATTCCATATCATCGGATATACATCAACGTAGCTTGCCTTTACTCCCATGCGTTTTCTAGTATCTGGAAGTTCAAGTTCAATCTTTCCAGTAAGAATAGGAATAAGAGCTTGTGGCGTTCCATCACCTACTATATTATACCCTTCTAGTATTAAAGCTCCTAAGTATTCTTTCAAATATTGATATGTTTTTGGCAATTTACGTATAAATGTATTTCTAGATAGAGAATCAAACCCAAACATAAGTACATTTAGTTTAAGGACCTTGTTCCCAACATATTCCCATTTACTTTTTTCTTTTACTTCAGGATCATCCTTTACTCCAGCCATAATACTATGCCATCTAAAATATTTTATAAAGAATAAATTCATTTAGTTTGCTAATTGAATGTTCTTCTTAATATGTTTTCCTTACTTATTTCCATCTTTTGATTCACATTTTACATCAACAAAATCACTATGTTTAAGAACATAGAAATCATCAGACTCAACAGCAGTTTCATATGATATATTGTAATCATCATCTCTAAGAATTTCTAAATAAACAATTGAAATGATTATGTTCAGTAATATGAATGTTAATATATATCATCCAAATTCAGACAACTCACCACTGAAAGAACAAATCAGGGATCCATATTTTTTCTTTGCTTTATTGCTGATAACTAGTCTTGAACCATGAAGAATAACCCAGTCTTCTGGTGTACATTGCAAAGGGGGAACATCGTGAATAAATTTCGTGATTTCTGGATTAGAAATATCTAATTGGGGTAGTTTGCAAGCCACAACTCCTTCCCTAAAGGCATATAGATCTCTTTGCTTTTTTACATTTAAAATACAATTTTTCTAATAAAATTATATGTACCCAATATAAGGTTGTTCAGATTCCTTAATTAACTGTGATATATGTATTCTGAAATGACAAATTATTACAATTAAAGACACATTCTTACATTACAAAGAATTAAATACTAATGCTTACAGTTTATCCAAATTTGACAAATCATTGTCATTAAATCCTAATTCAGAACGAAAAACTTGAACAACACAAAACAGCAGTAAGACAAACAGTGCTGTTATTATTAGACGGCGGAAATAACATGACATAATCTTCATCTTTATTCAATTTATCATATCTGAAAGATAAAATTTACATTTTTATCTTATCTTATAAAAGCTTTAATTCCTTAAAGCACTTGAGCGCTGTAAATATTTGATATAATTGTCAAGAACATTGTTATTAATATTGTGGTTAATAAATAAAAACATTTATGTATAAGCATAAAAATTTATTACAGACACTGATAATTAGCATTAAAATTAAACATCAATTTAAAAGATTTAGAATACAATATAATAAATATATAAATATATAAATACAAAAATCCAATTTAAAAAAGACAATATATCAGTCAAACAAAATTGTTTGGATATAATTTAAGTTTGTTAAAATTGAAATTAGATCTCGGTATTACCATGCAATGGCTGTCAAATTATTAATGTTCATTTTGTAAAAACATTGTACAAAATTATTTTTTACTAGACTTAGGACTAATTTTCTTTTATTACAAGATTACATTATAACATATGGAAAAATTAAATGGCAAGTTTTTGTTAATGTAAATATATATAAAAACCGACAATCCAGCAACTAGATAAATGAATAAATACTGGCAATGTCTTTTTTATTTCAATCGCAGTGTTAGCCCAAATTCTTAAAACGACCGTCGAGTTAGAGAGGAACTTTAAGATTTAACGCATATAAATAATTATATAATATATCGTGACTGCCAATTTTCAATTTCGCAGTCATAAAAAATAACATGTAGTTTTTACCTTCCACTGAACTATTGTAAAAGTGACAAGTATACAATGAGCGGAAATTTAATAGCTGGATGTTTCTTAAAATTTATTCCTCCTCTTTCTGCTCGTTCTTTCATTAAACATTTGCCTTGTTTTATAACACCAAAACGTTGTAACGTCGGAAACACGTTGCTGGATATTGACATATTCTCCTCGCAAAACTGCAGAATTGACTGGTTTCAAACTATGGCTACCAGTGGGCGGGTTATTTAAGCTTATACGCATTAAAATTGTTAAAATTGCTTCTTATACGTTGTAGAATGTACAGACACAAAGAGAGAGAAAAGAGGAAATCAAATCTTTAATACTTCTGTCATTTGTGCATCATTGATTGATGGAAAAATTTCCATAATAATTATCAAGATAAATATCAAGAAACATTTCAAATATTTAAAGTACAAAATTAAAATATTATATTTATGTTTAATGTTATCAAAAAAAAAAAAAATATTTCATTTGTCAAAATATAGTCCCTATTTAAAATGTACTATTTGAACTATTAAATTTGTACTATCTGAACTATGGAAGTATTACTATTTAAAATAGCATGTATTAGTACCTTTTTCTCACTTTTTTTCTACCAATTTTCATGATATTTAATTATATACATACTATGTCATTAAACATGTAACTTTAGTTGTTCATATCTCTAAAATTATCAACTTGCAAGTAATACTTTATACATATGGAGTCCTTATGCCATTATACAAAAGTTTATTAAAATCCTTTATTAAAGTCCATTAAAATCCCTTGTAATTTCCTCCAATTTAAAATTTACCATGTGCCATGACATTCTACACTTTTCGATGATTTAATTATCTATTTTTTTTTTACGAAATTATTTACAATAAATGATTTATGAATCAGCTACACGTATTTCAGTCACAAAATACAAAAGTACGTATTCTTATCTTACAGTTGTACTTTATATTAATTTGTAATTAATTGTTTCTAAGACTTGTTATATAAAATGATATTTACAATCATTTTTTGGTATTTTGAATTTTACAACAGCATACGCATTATATTTTTAGTAAAGTAAATTATACCATTCGAAGTAGTCAAAGAATCACTTTTGAATTATCGTGTAAGTAAATTTGCAGCTTGAAAGGCGATTCCTTAATTTCCGAATTCAAGTCGTTTAAAAAGATAACGTTACCAATACGCTGCAGTTATAATATTTATACAATATATAATATAGAATGCACATGTTATAAATAGATCTTGAAAAATGTCATAATTTTTCTCCCGAGTTACAACAATAATCCATTATTTCAATTAAGAAATTGTAAACATAATTTTACTAGTGCGTTTACTACAACTCAGTAAGAGTTTAACTCTCATTCGTTCTTTGTGTCAATTTGACAAATTTTTCTCATAAAATATTACATTATTTTGCAGCATGTAAGTACAGATACAGAGATGAGACTCGGTGACATATATTTGTCTAATGTATAGCATATATTTTTGACATTTTTGATAACAAAATATACTGTTTAACTAATATTTTGCTTTTAAATTCTTTGATAGGCAGTTTATTGCCTTTTAATTATTATATCACAATTATGGATTTAATTATATTTGAAAATACGTGTAGCTATCTTCGGTTTTGAATATAATTCTAACAAATCTAAAATAAATGATCATAATATGGACAAAACTAGAGAAGATAAAGTAACGAAAATAAAAGATTTTGCAAATTTAATTACTCTTTTCATTGTACGTATTGATATTAGAGATATTATATATAACAGATATATAATATATTGTATTATATAATAGGTATGATATTGTGTCAATTTGGCACTAAGGAACAAGTGGGAGATGGATGATAGTTAATGATAAATATTTATATATCCATCCAGCGAACGAATGATAAATTAATAAACGACTTACGTTTTGTATGATACAAGGAACAATTTGTTAATGTGATTTGAATCGAAGTTTTCCAATCTGGTTCCACTTCATTTGGGTTTCCGCGGTATGAAGGAGAATTTCCATGGCATTATATTAGGAAGGCGTTCCCTCTAAAAATATATTCGTTCATTATCACTAATTTATCAACAACGGTTTATGATATGTTTGTACTAGTACATTTTCTGTGTCATCGTTGACATTGTTACTGATAATGTGCTGTCGCGGTTCTTCGTTTCTTCTCAGCACGCGAGCAGGCCTGTACTTGTTGTATACAATAACCAAACAATCGGGAATTAAACAAACAATGACAATCATGATAGTTAATAACCAGAACGTCATCGACAATATTAACATCGGAAAGACCCTTAACATATCGCCGTCGTACCTTCTGCAAAATATATGACAAAAAATGTGTCAGAGGAATGGAGTAAAATTTGAAATTTTGAAATCGTAAAATTTACAATATTACTGCTTACGTGGGAACGAAGGAATAAAAAAGAGTAAATGCAATGAACGTTAGTTCTGATAATGTTACTATTAATATGAGCGGTAGTGTCCAGTAGCAACTACGCAGTAGTACCTAAAAATTGAAGATGATAGAGAATTTTATGTAAAAATTGCATTTTGGTATGAAATTAAAGTAGATTTACTAGATTAAAATAGACTATATTCACATATACCTGTAAATTGGCCACTAATGTAACTAAATGAAAAACGTATGTACCGAATGTCCATTGGTCTACCGGTGTGTTATTATACAACGTAACAGGATTGATGGATATATACATATGTGACATATAATATATGATAAGACTATGCCATAAAGCTGAAAGAATATATTAAATTTAGATCACGAAATTTTCACTTCGATATTCTTGCAAATGAATGAATTGTCTGGTTTACCTAGAGCAGTCCATAACAAAAATTGCCATCTGGTTAATAAATAATTGCGTCGATGCAATTTGTACAAATACGGTTTGCGTAATAATTTGTCAGCTGTGAAATTTTGTTCAAACAATCCATAAACCAATATTGGCATAGATGTGAATATTACATTGTAAAGCATAAAGAACAAGGCATCGTAAAATGGCTGAAAATTTACAAATCATAACATGAATGAAATTATTTAAATTATTCAATGGTTAATTGTTTACAATGCGCAAGTAACAACCACTGAGCGATAGTTATACGAGAAAAGTTGTTCAGAATGTTGTTCCCGACAATATATTCAAAAATCATTAAAATGATGAGGTCTTCCGCTTTGTAAATAACTACCGTGAAATGTAAAGATGCATTGGCTACAAAAAATATTTATATAACACCTAATACCTTTACTAGGTTCTACATTTCAGTTTTATAATATCAAATCAAATGATACAAACATATTTGAACTTAATACAGTAATATATACAATATTGTAATAGATACAGCAAATACTTTTTGTAGTCATCGTATCTATTTTGAGAAATTTTACCTGCGCAGAAAAACCTGTATACGTGTTATATAACACTTGTGGCGTAATGAAGATAAAATTCTTGTAAAAAAAAAACTGTGTCAGCGTGCTGATTCTAACATAGTACCAATGGCCATGCACCAGTAAAGCTTTCTTTAAAAACTTAAATCTTGCTATTGCAAAATCGGAGCACATTGTCGCTTGTCGACCTTCCTTGCCCATTATTCCGATTCCAATGTGAGCTTCCTGTATCATCGAGACATCGTTTCCTCCGTCGCCAATAGCGGCGGTATGTGGTCCATTTTTTCCATTTTTGACCAGACTTACAATCTGCATTGATTAAAAAAAAAAAAACCATGTACAAAATCATAGAAAAATGCATAAAACGCGTAAGATACGTGAAATTTACTTGACTCTTCTGTAATGGTGTTAGCCTGCTGCAAACAACTGCATCGCAGGACATTGCAATTGATCTGAATTGTGCCGCATGATTCTTTAGCGCAGTTGCAATACTGTATCCATCGACTAACAATCCATACTGTCTGTTAGGTTCAAGCTTTATTCTTCGCCTAGAATTATATGAAAATCAAATAGAAAAGAATATGGATCGAAGTTTGGATGATTATAAAAAACAATCAAATTATACCTACTCAAAATCCATAAGTTTGAGCGAGCAAACTTGGTCTGAGATTATTTCTAAGAATCTTAGTATCTCAGTACCACTCTTGAATTGACCGCAGAGAAATGCTATATTTTCTGCAGTTTCTGCTTTGTCGCCAGTCAGCACCCACACCTAAACGAGAAAGAGGAAAAAAAAAAAAGAAATCGTAAACTTGATAGAGATCCCTTCTTCTTTTTTTGCCTTTTTATTACGAACTTTAATGCCAGCTACTTGCAAGCACTCTAGCGTTTCCGGTACACCTTCTTGAAGTCGATCCTCGATACCAGTTACGCCTAATAAAGTGAGGCCGTTTTCCATCTGGTTATAAGCTCGTTCCATGTATATTGCTCGTTCGATTCCAATTATTTGTCTAGCTTGTTCCACTTTCTGCAGCAGCTGATCATATTCAATTTGATTCATTCTCTTGTACCCAACAACGAGGGTTCGAAGACCTCTCTAAAAGGGGATATATTTTTTAAATAATATTTTAAATAGAAAATGACGATCGAACATAGAATAAGATACATGAATCTACTAACCATAGAGAAATCGGCTACGTGTGTAATTGCTTCGTTGATGTTCCCCGAGACAATTAGTGGGAACATAGCGGAGTCGGCACCCTTGCAGTATAACCAGAAATCTCCAGCCGTGTCTTTTACTATCACCGACATTCTTTTACGTTCTATCAAGAGATTAACAAATTTTAATAATCCGCGATTTCATAGAACATTTTACGGGTCCTCACGAATACTAACCGGATGTGAATTCCAAAACTTCGAGCTTTTCGAAAGTCAATATATTGTCGTCGATTCTCAACTCTATTATATCGGTGGTGCTTTTGTGGAAAACGACTCCGCATCTGGCACTGGCTTCGACCAAAGCCTTTTCATCTGCTGATGCTGCCTACCGCATAGTGATCAGATATTTTTAAATCTTCGACCGATGATCAAATTAGCTTCAGCTAATTGAAACAAAACATCGACATTTTTGCTCAACAGCTTTGTCTTTCGTTCGTTATGTATCACGTCAACGCGATTCAATGTGTAAATTCGTCGTCAGTTGTTGCTTATCATTGCTCATCGAAGTTAAAAGAAAAAAAAAAAAAACTTGACGAAGTGTTCACGTTCGTGATTTATGTTCACAGTGAAAACAGATATTTTTACCTGGTATTCCGGTAAATCAGGATCCATTAGCAGAGAACTATTCAGTTGCAGGATCCTCTTTTGTTTGAAGCTTTCACGGTATTCCGTGCGTCTGCGGATAATGTTGGATTTTTGACTCGGTGGTGAGATTTGAACCGAGTGGCACAAAGAGATGCTTATCATAAAATGCCAAATGTCTGGCTGGAATTTGATGGAAAGCGTTCGTTAGAAACGTCGATTGAATGAAACATTCCGATATTTGTTTCGATTATAAACGCTGTATTACCTCCCAGGATTCTAACTTGACTGCTTCATTCTCATCTCCGTTAGAAGGCAGTAGATATAAATTCCCATCGCAATCTTTTTCTGTGTAAACTTTCCCATTGATCGAGGCTCGTCTAAACACCATCAGATTTTCGGTGAGCGTGCCGGTCTTGTCCGTGAACAAGTACTCTACTTGACCAAGCTCCTCGTTTAGATCTGACGTGTTAATCAACGCCGACTGATTCGTGACTTCGTCGTACATGTCAATGTCCCAGACGAAGAAAAACGAACCGAGAAATTTTTGTAATTCTGTAACAAGCATGATTGATCGGAGTTTTACTCTCAAACGGCGAGTTTTAACAACTAGATTTAGACTTTTGGGATTCACGTTGAAATAATGAAGTTTTTGAAATAATGCAGAAATAATAAGAAAAAAACTATACATTTTTTGACACCATAATATTATTTATATTTACTTTATTTTTTAAACATTTATCCGCTTATGGTCAACAGAAGAATATTCCATATTAGTGAATGTAATTCTGTGTAATTTCTTAAATTTGATAAAGAAATTAAAAGATGAAAACGCTTTAAAGTTTAGAGAATAAAAGTTTAATTTAATTTTCATTTAATTTTAATAATAAATATTAAATTGTTGAAATAACTAAGAAAAATATGTTGTATTATTAGACTAGGCATTGTAAATTACATTTTATTTATTTCTTTTGTTGAAGATTGAAATGCAATTTCCGCTACAGATATAAGACAGTAGATTTTGAATTACATATACCTTTTAATTATTTTATTTTTCACGATTTTGCTTGACTTCCTAAAGAACATTATAAAATCGTAACCAGCAACATGAAACATTCCTTTCAAAATAAATAAAAATACAAAAAAATAAATAAATAAAAATAATATACCAAATATGTTTTTTTAAATATTTTCAACACACCTCTTCATTACTCCAAAAATTTTTATCTTCATTATTTCACATACGTGTGCGTGACATTTGTAATAAGAAACGATTTATGGTAAAATTCCTATTTTGAACAATAATAACTTGATCATTGTACGCGGTAGGAATTTTTTTTCGAAAGGATAAAAAAAAAAATAAGGTTTTACCTATGGTAACGTATAGCGATATCGGCACAATGTAATTGTACAAAATGGTGAAGCTCAAGAAATCCGTAGCCAGCGATTTGAACGTAATGGTTTCTTTAATCGCAAGATACACTTCCCATTTCTCTTTCGCATCCGATATAATTTTCATCATACAGGATTCTATTACTTCGACCAGCAATAACACGATAAACATGGCGATGTGTTTGTTGATTGACCTACAAGAAAAGGATTAGATTACAATTACTTTTCATTTTACGTTTACCAATCTCACCAATTTTCACTTACTTCTCAGCTGTGGAAAATTTGTTGCTTCTTATCTTGGAATTGAGAGACAGCTTCGTATCGTGACCGGTGTAAATCGCGCAGCCGATGATATGATCTGTATCTTTCAATCTGGATCCACGAAGTAACAAATTATTAATCGTCAGATATCCATTGATTACTTCGTTGCTTTTGTTGTTTATTTCCAGCTTGCCATGAAATTTATAAAGATCGGATGAGGGATGTTGGCAGGTAACAGTAGCCTCCATGGATACTATTTGCGACATAGTCATTTTTGACAGTATCTTTGGGACCATCACGCTCTAAATAAATAACGATTCAATAACTATCATCAACACAGCGAATTCAATATCTTTTTACCAAATCGATAATAACTTGTTTTCCAACTCGGTTGAGAAAAAAATTATGTACCTTTAAATTGGTTTCACCATCGAGATTCGATGTAGTGATGTAGCAACGTTTTGTGTCTTCTGTGCTAAAGAGGAGCAGGAGATCGCAAGGAACATCTTGCTCGCGATATACCTTCACTAGATCTCCGACTACTATTTCTTCACAATGTATATTCTGGAAATACGAAACAAAGAAATTTTTCTTTTCCAATAATCTCTTTATGTTTTTCGTTTCCAACAGAAATTTGATACTGATAACGTTGATAAACACAAATTTAATGTGCTAATTACATCTTCAGTTTCGTTGTCTTCTTCATAGGTTAACGGTCATGGAAATTACTTTACTCTAAAATTTTTAGGCGGAAGAAAATAAAAATATCTTAATAGAAAAAGTTTTTAATAAAATCGTAACAATAATATGCTGTGTATGTAATAATATAATTATTTCTTAAAGGAATTAATATTCGCCGATTAGTTTGTTATCATAAAAAAATCTGTAAGTACTAGAATACTTCTATGATATATAATACATCACTAATATTTAAATATTTTCAATTCGTAGATATATAGAATAATTGATTGAATCGATAATGATAATTTTGCAACAAACTTCTTCAGTATCCAGTAAAATTTTCATTTAAATTGTTGCGTAATTTTATACACTAGATACTTAATTCTAGTCACATTTGTAATGGTAATTGTATAATTATATAATTATATAATTATATAATTGATAATTAATAAATAAATTATATATATATCTTATCGTCAGGGAACTGTAAATTTTTTTATTGTTTCATCATACAATAGCGATCTAGTTGTGTCATTTTCAGTTGACAGAATGATTAAAGAGTATAGTTTAGATTTTGTTATTGACACTTTGGAGAAAGTTTCCCTTGAATGAGTATTGCTAAAAATATATTGATTCTACAAACATCGTTTTAGTTAAACTAAAATTTTCCCGATCATTGTGTAATTTCATCAATCAGTTTTTACACTTCCCATAATATTTCAGGACCCGGAGCATAGTTGTATCAAGGTAAATCCGCTCCTGGGACTACCCTTGCCATTTAAGTTTGAGTTAAATTTACTTGCGAGTGAATTAACTTAGGTACAGTGCTGACCAATCGGTATTATTATTCCAAACATACTATTTAATTGTTAGTCAGCTTGATAGTCTGATAAATTTTAATTCGGGTCATTAGATCGACCATATGTGCAATAAATTCTCCTTGTCTTTAAAAATTCAGACACGAAACAAACTCATTGTGTCACGAGCTTCTAATATAATCATGTTCGTAAATAAATTTAACCTAAGCTACACTGTAACTCATCAAAATAAAAAGCTTTTCCATGGATATCTCGAAAAGTAAAACCGAATTAGAGTTGTACACGATATAAGAAACAGTTGTTCAAAATATGTCTTTCAATAAAACATGTTCAAGGATCGATCATGATCCATCAAAATCGATGATTTAGTGGTGAGGTGCACCCTCATTCGTACAATTTTCAACTTTTCTTTTAAAATTAATTTTTATAGACATCAAAAAATTGATGATTTTCGAAGCGTCATTCTTTTATCACGTCGACGATATTGACGTAGTTTCCTTCAAATACATTTGTCAATGCAATTGTACTCACCTGTACGCACTTGTTGCGAATGACTTTGACGAATGTTCGGTTTACTCGTTTGTCTGCCATGTAACGATTATAGTCTTCGTAGCCTTGTTTGCACGCGGTTACTAATATGACGAAACTTAAAGGGAGAACGCTGGTCAAAGGAGAAATTGGAGATGTTATCATCACAGATATTATCGTCATTATGAGAAAATAAAAGTTCGCAATCCGTCTGAACTGCTCAAAGAGATTCTTTGGTACAAAGTTCCATAGTGTGTACTGTAAATGAAACGAAAATGAATTACACAGCAGGCTAATATAATAATATGTTCGATTCTGATACTTACTTTTTTGGAGACAATCCGATTATTTGGAAAAACTGTTTGCTCGGGATCGTTGCTCGGGCTGATCGTTACAATCCTGTGATCCGTGTATAAAGATGTTGCATTACCCTGTACAAAAATATTCGAATTAATTGAAAACTCGATAGTGGACGTTAGATCGTCAATGAGTATTCTGTACACTTGCACTTATAAAGAACACCACGTGGGAGAAAGCGTATTGGGTTTTTAGGAAAATTGGCACGCGTATCAGTTTCTCCGATTTGAACCATTTTCTGCGAATGAAGTGCAATATTCTTTTACCGACCGATTGCACGTCTAATTGCGCGACTAAGTAGGGCAGGTTAATCAAATCATCTAAGGGTTGTGTAACATGTTGCATCATCTCGCTTTATCTCGCAATGGCGAATTACTGATTTCTATCTGAAACATTTCTGCGAGAAGGTGTCAGCAAAAAAGTGAAGAGGACGTGTTGTGAAAAGAGAGAGAAGTTGCACATTCATCGATCGACTCATCCGTTTCATCTTTTTTTTTTTTTCGCGCAATCGTTAGAAAAGATGAACATTTTTGAAAAACACAAATAGACGAATTTATATAATTTGAAATCTTTCTTTCGAGGGACGTTTGGACAGTTAAATTCAAGCGAAAGTGATGACCATGCGAAGACGTCTTTTTTCTTTTTTAATTATCCTAGTAAAGTAAAGAAGAAGTAAAGTACTAAATTGCGGTTTGGTAAAGTGAGCAACTTCGTACGAGAATTTCGAGAATATTAATCGAAGCTGGTCGATAATAAACAACCAAACGATGTCACGATGGTATAACTCTCGGTTTTAAATGCCAGTTTCGTAACTTTTGAAATTTTGGGGAGTGATCGCGAACATTTATCCGGCTTCAGGATCGAACACCGTCAAATGGGGACATGAAACCACGATCTCACGACTGCCGACTTTTTACCTCGACTGCAAATTGCTTGTTCAAAGTTCACAATGACCAAGCACGAATGCTTAAAGGTCGACTGTTCGTATCGGTCAAATTGCAACAGCGTCAAACGCGTTTTAGCCATGACGATCGGGGAAGTAGTCGCAGGAGCAATAAATACGACTACTTGTTGAACATGACCAACAGTCAGTACTTGGATCACATGTATCAGTCATGGAAGAAGAATCCAGACTCCGTCAATCCCTCGTGGAATTCGTATTTTAGATCAATTTATGCCGACAATCTTCCAGAGTCGGCAACTTCCTCACCACCGGCAGACTCCAATTCATCTCGGACTTTCACATCGAAAGACTCCACTCCATCGACAGTCTCCGCTTCCACCCGAATTGAATCGTCTTCTAATATAATACCTTCAAATTTTGTCGGTGCACAGTCATCAGGTAGATCTTTCTCTTAAATTTTAATCTTCATGATCTTAAAATGAAGACTTCAGTCTGTGAAACTGCTGTCAATTTATCTGTTTCTGTTTTATATTCTTTGATGCATTTACTATTGTTTTATTTCGCATGGAATTATTTATTATTAGCCTTTGCCACGATATCGTTGAGTTAATTGTATAAATTATTTGTTTTGTAATAAGTATATATAAGCGATATACACTGTATGTAATATAGCAATATGGTTTTCGAGAAGAATACACATGTAGAGTATTGTGCAGAGGTTTTGGGTCATCTGTAATAGTGATCTTGTAATGACAATTAATCACGTTCTTCGGAAACGTTTCTACATGGAAATTAACATTAGAAATTAAAAATAAATCTTTAAATACTTTTATTAATGATACTTCATCCTTACAATTTCTCTTCATTCGTGACTTTTTTTTATGAAACAATTCACAATTGGTATCAACATAAAAGCAAATAGATATGGATAAATTGCTTGAAATATTCTTACATTGAAATATCCACGATACGAGATTATTAAAATTGTTTGACCAAATCCTCGGTTGAACTCTTGCTATCGAAAGAGTAAGAGAAAATGATTTCAAATTAATATCTTCTTACTAAATAATATTTTTATGTTCATAAAAGTAAGAAATAAAATATTTGTATGTAGCACATGGCCCAAGAGTTTTGCACACTGTACTATGTTCAGAGCAAAATAACACTATCGTTTTATTACTGAGCAGCACCAAGTTTTTCTCAGCAGAATGTAAGGTCACAGTCAAACGGCGGCATACAAGGTGAAAGTTTCATAAACGGAGCTCTCGATATTAATGCCACGATTCGAGCTTATCAGGTATTTGTTATAAAACGAAGTCTAAAACTTTCATCTAAATCCATCTGATAAAATTGCTTTGTTTTCCTTGATTCAAGACACGCGGCCACTTGATAGCCGATACCGATCCGCTAAGAATACAAAATCCAGAATCCTATAAGCTTCAAGGCACTTCTAATTTACCACCTGCGATCGTGGTGCGCCAACATTTGAAAGGGATAACCGAGGCTGATATGAACAGGGAATTTCCTCTTGCGCCGTTCACCGTAATTGGGGGCCCTAAGCGGAGTCTCCCTTTGCGCGAAATACTAACTAGATTGAACCAAATTTATTGCGGTCATTTAGGCCTTGAGTACATCTATATTCATGATCTTGTCGTTGTAAGTATTGTTTATTAAAGGGAGAACAAGAAAAAAAAGGTATATAAGGTATAATAAGGTATATAGGTATAATAACTGCATATACACTAGTCTTCGGAATTTTCGCATGATGGAACAATTATTTCTCTGATATCAAATTACGTGTATTCAAATGGAAATTTAAGAAATTGTCAATTTGTTTTGTTTTCGTATGTATGTAAGAATGAGATATTTAACTCTCTTAAAATAAATAATTCTGTGTACATTCTGCTTTTGTTTGTCAAATCGTCGTTTAGAAATTCGTTTATAAATGATTTGAACGTGTTTCGGCGTAAAAGACACTCTCATCATTCTCATTTGTTATTTTGATTTACTAAAAAATGTTTACGACATCTTTAGTCTTCGTTTTACATTCATCTTCTTATACATATACATTTTCATCTAAATATATAATATAATATAATTAAATATGTTCTTTCGATATCGTTTTCTTTTTTTTTTTTTTTTTTTTAGTAAAATTTTCTCATAGTTTAATCTTTTTTTCATACAATTATGAAAATAAAGAAAAGACATTTAAACATTCGGTTCGAATAAATAAATGTTTGGATAATGTGGATTTTCATATGGGAAACTCTACTGTGTTTGAGAATTACGTCAAGTATTATCTCAGTGTTACATTAAAATTAGTATTATATCGAAAAGAAAATAGGAAAAAACAAGAAGAGTAATCTAATTGCTAACTGCTAAGGGAAGCTAATTGTTAAGAAAACAACTAGGAATTGTATAAAAAAATATTTAAAAATTATGTCAGATATTCTGTCAAAAGTTAATTTTATGTATCTTTTCTAGTTAGATTGGTTGAGAGATAAATTCGAACTACCTGGCGCTTGGGAATTGCCGGCGGATCATAGAAAGTTCATTTGGATGAATATTATGAGGGCGGTAACGTTCGAGGGCTTTTTAGCACGAAAATTCCCCACTGAAAAAAGATTCGGTTTGGAGGGTTGCGAATCTTTCATACCATCGTTGATACAGTGTTTAGAGACGTCAGCGGAACATGGTACAAAAAAAGTCGATAAATTATTTTCATTTGCGTCGAGCGAAAGATATGAAATTGATGCAGCAGAAAGTGTTTATAGGGGTAGAAAGTGCTGTGATAGGCATGGCTCATCGAGGACGGTTGAACACGTTGAGCAACGTTTGCTTCAAACCATTGCATCAACTTCTTACCCAGTTCAATCCGATTCCTTTAGAAGGTTTCGGTTCTGGTGACGTAAAGTATCACTTAGGAACACACGCGGAAAGAACATTGGAAAGGTGAACGATGACGTGGATAACGTCAACTATAAAATAAAACAATTTAGTTCAAATCGTTCGTAGATCTAAGAAGAAGATTCTCATTGCTATGATGGCTAATCCGTCTCATTTGGAAGCGATCAATGGCGTTGTGATCGGTCGAGTTCGAGCTGAACAAGTGGAAAAAAACGATGCCCAATGTACGTACAGTGTTGCTCAGAAGTGGACATTTTCGTAATAGTTTCGTTACTTGATAATTACTAGAAAAAGATATGAAATTTTGATACGTAATAAATTTTATTATTACGGATATTCTAATTTGTACTAGGGAATTATAATATTTTCAATTGAGTGGAAATTAAGAGTTTATGTTACATTTTGATCGAAATTGAGTTCACAATCTCTGCAGATCTTTTAGCTTGCAAGGGTTACAAATATAAATTTTTTTTATTCTTTGTATGGTATTCAGTTGTCATAGTACTAATATTAAATAAATATTTCACTAATAATAGTATGAAATAACTACAGCTTCTTCTCACCGACTTATTTAATATACGTACTCGTAAAAAAACTTAACAATAAACATTGTTTAATAATATACATAATATACATTATTGTTTAACAATATACTTAATATACATTATTGTTTAATGATATACATAATATACATTATTGTTTAATAATATACATAATATACATGTATTATATGTTTTATAAAAATATTCACTTACTGTTGAGCAATATCACATGTAAAATACAAATCTATTAAGGAATTTAAGGTGACAAATTCGTTTATATCAGATGGTAAAAAATCGGTGGCCATTTTGGTTCATGGTGACGCTGCTTTTTCTGGGCAAGGTGTCGTCTACGAAACGATGCATTTGACCAATTTGCCAAATTACACGACCGGCGGCGTTCTTCATCTCGTAATTAACAATCAGGTAGTGATTTCTATTTAGTATTTAGTATAGTATTACCGAGCCTAATAAATTGTTTCAACGAAATCGATCAATCGTAGATTGGTTTCACCACCGATCCCAGATATTCCCGCTCGAGCGTTCATTGCACAGACGTGGCACGCGTTGTAAATGCTCCTATTTTCCATATACATGCTGACGACCCTGACTTAGTGGCTTACTGTAGCAAGGTTGCCGGAGAATATAGGTATGTACATTCTTGTATAGAAATCATTTTCCTCGTCGTTTAAAAAATTAATAACACAGGGCTACGTTCCACAACGACGTTGTTCTCGACATCGTGGGATACCGAAGATTTGGGCACAACGAATTGGACGAGCCGATGCTCACGCAACCCTTAATGTACAAACGTATAAAAGAACATCCGAATGTTCTTTCCATTTATAGTGATAAGTTGCTGAAAGACGGAGTGATTACCGAGGCGTTTGCCAAAGAAGTATACGGAAATGCCACTGTTATTTCACATATTGATATGTTTCTAGTCGTTCGTTTATCCAGGGTTTTATCTAGGAAATTGAGAAGTACTGGAACTATTGCGAAACGGAGTTTGAAAAAGCGAAAACGATCGATTCGATGCAATTGAGCGATTGGCATGACGTGCCGTGGTCAGAGTTCTTCTCTAATCAAAGCCCCAGGAATAAGATACCACCGACCGGCATCGACATAGAAATCATAAAGACAATTTGCAAGGCAATATCAACTCCACCGCATGGTATCACGCCTCATGCTCAGGTATATATATCGGCTGATTAAGCGAATAATTACTAAGACGTAAAGATTATCGGAACGTGTTCTTGGAAAGCGTTCCTTCCTCGATAAAACAAATTTTTAATCTCTGAGCAGCGGAAATGACGGGAACTAAAATGATTTATCGCAGGTGTTAAGGGTAATGGAAAAGAGAAATCAACTAATGGAAGCTCGACAAGCAGATTGGGCAATGGGTGAAGCCTTGGCGTTTCTCAGTTTGCTGAAAGAAGGTCACCACGTGAGATTGTCCGGACAGGATGTCGAGCGAGGCACTTTTTCTCACCGTATGCACATCATTCACGATCAACATAGAGATAAAACGTTCAAAAATATTCTACACGATGTGTTCCCGGGACAAGGGTTATACACGGTCTCGAACTCCTCGCTGTCAGAATATGGTGTTTCCAGTGAGTGACATTGTAAATCAATAACACAATAATATCGCAATTAACAATTAGAAACTGATAAATTGTAAATCGATTATGAACGTAGCGTTTGAGGTAGGTTACTCCACCTATAATTATAACACTTTGACGATGTGGGAAGCTCAATTTGGCGATTTCTGCAACACATGTCAGGTAATTCTTTCACTTTATTTTCGAAGAACAGTGTGTGTGTGTGTGTGTGTGTGTGCGCGCGCGCGTGTGTGTGTATGCTCTCGAAAAAAATGTTACCGTACATTATCGTCTTTTGAGTGTGATATAACGGATTTAACGTTGAACAACTTCTGCCGTTATAATCTAAAGATGTAAAATTACCTTTAATAGCTTGATTTATAGATAGCGTGACTATTGATATTCTACACTATTTATCATTGCATTACCACATATTAATTCACTTTTAAACGATCGTGGATGTTAAACGACGATGAATAAAATTGCGTATGCATTTAGGTCTCTATAGACGCTATTCTGAGTTCCGGGCAAACGAAATGGGGTCGACAAGTAGGATTAGTGTTTCTTTTGCCTCACGGACTGGAAGGTCAGGGTCCTGAACATTCGTCCGCAAGGCTCGAACGATTCCTCGAGCTTTGCGACGACGACTGCGTCCATATGCCGGGCAAAGAACCGGGGGCATCGCCAGGAGAAACTGTGGAGGAAATTATGACACGGCAATTATTTGAAATAAATTGGATTATCTGTAATTTAACGACCTCTGCGAACCTTTTCCATTGTCTTCGCCGACAGATTCACATGCCTTTCAGGAAACCATTGGTTAGACACGTTTCTACTCTATCTATATTTATCATTCCTATCATTGAACCAGATATAAATCGTTTATTTATTTAATTGATCAGTGCATTATGACGCCCAAGTCCTTGCTACGTCACCCGATGGCTATATCGCCTTTCTCCGATATGGAATCCGGAACTTCGTTCAAACCTCTTCTTTCGGATCCCTATGTCAAACTAGGCAATGTACAAAAAGTATTGATGTGCAGTGGAAAGGTGTACTACGACCTAATCACGGAACGAGAGGGGAAACAATTGGAAGATAAAATAGCTATTCTTCGCATTGAGCAAATCTGTCCATTTCCATATCATTTTCTCGCGCAAGAAATGACGAAGTATCCAAATGCCAAGGTACAACGATCTAACTTTTCCTTAGTCCGAAAACGAGACTTTGAACCTAGCCTATATAGCGAATATATCTAGATAATGTGGTTCCAAGAAGAACACAAAAATCAAGGTGCATATACGTACGTGAGAGACAGAATAGCGTTAGCTTTAGGAAAGAAATTGGAAGAAGTGACCTATGGTGGTAGACCACCATCAGCTTCTCCAGCAACTGGTAGCAAAGTCATTCATTCGACGGAATACAAAGATATGATGGCTGCTGCTTTGAAGCTCGATTAAATCAGAGTTAATAAAAAAAAAAAAAAAAAATTAAACAGAAAATACGTCATTCGCGACAACGTAAAACTAAAGCAAAAAGATTTTACTTTATTGCCACGAGGAGACCAGATAGCATAAAGTATGAATAAACGAGTAAATAATCAGGATAAACGTATGCATACACAATCGTATAATGAATTTCTCCTTGATCTTTCTCAGCTCAAATGTCTCTACCGATCGGATGCTAATTCGCTCAACTTACCAAAAGGCATAAGTACTTGTAGCCAGTCTTCTTGTAACATGTGCAAATCCATCTGTTAAGATGATCCCACATTGTGCTTTCTTTTCACTACGTATTTACTTTGATTCACAATTGCCGTGATTATTGCAAGTGGAGCAGACAACTATGCGACGCGTGAAGTATAACTGAACTTGAGAACTCTCTGGGTGAATAGTGCTAATAATCAGTATAACCAACACGCGTACGTTGTAAGATTGTGTATATGGATCAAACTTCCCTATTCTTTTTATAGCATTGTAATGCTTTTTGAGAGATGAAACTCTTATTACGCGTTGTGTGCAATTTATGATTTGATATTGTATATGTTATTATTTTTTTAAATTTTATATTAAATGAATATACAATGCAAATGTGTGCTGTTACATTAATATACATAAGATGAATACGGTTGTTTTCACTATCTATAGTAAATATAATGTATCTACGTTAAAATATGTGGAATGTCATCTGAAATGGTCATTACATACAAAGAAATTCATTGATTTTTTCTTTAGTGCGTCGAATTAGTGAAAGAACTCTATAATATAGTCAATTCATATAACCTTGAAATTTTTAACGAGAATCAATTACTCGAGGAATGACCTTGAATATTCATACTCAATACTCAGCGATAAGTAGCGTTACGTATCTTTTTTATTGTCAATTTTTTGATAGCTTTCATCTTGAAAATGGAAGCCAATATTAAAATTGTTTCAGATAAAAATCTCATTTTTTTAAATATCCAATTTATTTTTGTCATTGTGACACGAAACATATGTAAGATTACATACATTGACAACGAATAAAGAACTGATAAGAGTATTACTGGCTTATGCATATCAGAGGTTTTTTGCGAATTTTGCTTATTTAGATGCACAAAACATATATTTCCGTTTATAAAAAAATAATGTAATAAAAAATACAAAGATCTTACCATTTTGGATATAAACTTTGCAACCAATGATCCACCACGTTGCTGTAGAAATTCTTTCCCAAGTTAAATGGAATTTTTTTTATTATTTATTTTTTATTTTTTTATTATTTATTGATTTACTTATCTATTTATTTATTTATTTATTGATCTTTATTTATATATTAATTATTATTATTCTCTTTATTTATTTATTAGTCATTATCATTTTATGATTGTCACATAAATCGCACAGCGATTTCGTTTAAATTTGCAATCTTGAACACAAAATTTATTTAGTCAGAAAATATATAGTTCGATTCACAATATATTTTAAGTAACATTTTAATGATGACATCGGCAATTACTTTTCACTCATTTTTCTTGTAGCAAATTTAATACTAATAAAGTCCAATGCTTGTTTGATGCTTGTCGAGTTAAAAATGGCACACCAACGTGCCGATTACTCTTTTGCACTTACCCAAATGGATTTTCTTTTTTAACGATTAGTACACAGGAGAATGAACTGGCCGATTCACTGACTGCTAATATACGAGTAGTAACTGAGATATTCTGCCATGACAACGGATAAAAAAGCTCGTTATCCGTTCATCGACAATCACCAATACATATCCGTACTATCAGACATTCAAAAGATAAGAAATTTTTAGCGTTGTCGAACAAGTTTCGCAGCTATCTTGCTTACCTTTCTTGCTAGTTTCGTTAATCAATATCTGTAATTTCATTTAGAACATAATTCAACGAGAAGTCTAATTGATGACAGGTAATTAGAAAATTGTTACGATTAATAAACGCGTCAACTCGTTTCGTTGAAATACTTCCTTTTATACTTAAAAAGCTCTCCACAGCTAATGACGAATATTTTCAAACATTTTCCAAGCGTTTCAGCCTCGTTATATTTATCATTCTACAGTTACATTAAAAACATTCAGAATTATCATGTGAACAAAGCAGCCAGTTCGCAATTTTTCATATATGCACGTACAACAACGCATTTTGGGGATTTAAATGTTCTTCTGCGAAATATATCGACGAGAAACCTGACATCTGTACCTCTCTTTGTATCCATGTATTTTTAGTTTAAATTTCTGATGCAAAGTGCTGACAGAATACGATGCTCGTTTATAATTTGAATCAAATTTCCCGCTCCTAGTGAGGGCGCTGTTTCCTCTCAGTCCCCTCCCCTCTCGAACTATAGGGAGCAGCAGCGTAGGGGAAGGAAGTGATGCGCAGGGCACTTAGTCGAACAGCCGGACAGTCGAGCTAGGCATTTGGTGCGGTAATGTTCGGTCTGTTCGTGTTCGTTTCGTCGCGTTGCGTAATCGGTTGAAAGAGGAGGAAGCGGAACGCAGGGGAACGCATATCGAAGTCGTAGAGGCGAATTCGACCGTGCCTCTCGCTACCGTAAACGTAACGACACTGCCTGCCGCAGATCAAGAGATATGTCGCAGAGTGGAGGCAAACATTGCTAACATTGTGAATGACACGACTGGATTTTCCGCCAACGGATCGATAACGAACGACGAGAAATTTGACTCGGTTAAAATGTCGTCGGCGATCAAATCCAGCGGCACGCCGGGCATCACTCCGCTTCTGCCTGTGCTACGCCATTGCAAATATGAGCACTTCGTCGCTGGTATATCAGGCGGTGTGGTTTCCACGCTGATGTTGCATCCTCTGGACCTAATCAAGACCAGGTTCGCAGGTAAGGCGGAATCAAACGTGTCATTGCTGACGACATAACGGTCGTAGTTGCAAATGGCGGGCACGGATTCGATCTGTTCGATATATACGATACACGTGGTGCACGCGCTACATTCTATATTTATACGCGCGTTAGGTGCAGAAAGAAGTTTTCTCCTTGTGTCTTTGTCCCTTTAATCCGTGGATTTAGTTTCTGTTTGCTTTGTAACTTCTCGATCTTAATTGTTTAACACAATTAAAAGACAATGGAAGGGAATCGTAATAATAGTATATTTGTAAGTGGCGTTTATCTTCGAAACAAATGATTCATGTCGATTGCCGTAACAATTTTCAATCTTCATTTTGTCATGATTTTTTTCGTTTTTTTAAGCTTTGAACTTTTGAAGTAGCATTTTCCGACATTCTTGCTTCGAAATATTCGATAATAATCTTATTTATATATATTTATATCTTGTGAAATATTATCTAGCATGCACCTCAGTGTTTTGTATGCTCTACTGTTAAGAGTCATATATGTATTATGCATTACATATATGTTACTCCTGATTTATCGTTAATTTAATTAATTCGGATGTCCCTATTACACGTCCCTAGCGCGAATCGCATTATGTTTTCAATTAGAGCCCTTCCAAATAAGCTAAAAAAACAGCTGAACCTTTAACTGATCTGTCTCAAGTCACACGCGAAAGATATTGTCACTAATACTATATAATTAATATTTTACATAACGTTACATAATTTACACAGAAATTGTAAATAGTCTTATTAATTAATTTCTGAGAAGCTGATGCCCAGTGTTCAATGTTCACTTTGTTGGTGTAGCGTGCCGATCTCACTTCGACGTATAAGTATCGTTGAGCAGATCGGTGGCTTGCTGTCTTTCAATGTTAATGAAAGTCAGCTGATTCAAGATAGAGTTGTTTCATAGCTAGATTGAGAAATGTAAATTGTCGTAAGAGGAAGATTGATGAAACTTGTCCTGTCATACGTCGATGGGTTGCTCCGAAACTTGTGTGTGCACTGCGCGATTGTCAAAACATTGACTGTCGTTTTTTTTTTATTTAATTATTCCGAATGTCTCCTCTGCAGTACCCTGGGCCTGCAGTGCCCTTTAACCTGCATAAAGATTGATATTATTCGTTTGTGGATATTTATGTGGTTTGTTTGCATGATGAGGTGAGGTTAGGCAGGAAAAGTTCTGTCGTTTTTTCTTGTACGTTGGTCTTATATATAGCTGGATTCTATGGTTTAGGGAGGTATGTTAGTTGCTTTCAGATGTGAGTGAGGTCAGTCCCAGAACGTAGTATCTGCACTTCCAGAATGTGAATCCAGTCGCAACATGGATTTATGGATGTAAAAAAGTTGCGATAAAGTCCTTCATCGAGCCTTAAAATTGAGTGTCAAGCATGACGAACTTTGGAATTGGTAGTCCGGTGTGACTACAATAGAAGATGCAAAGTAACGAAGGACATAAAATATGATCACGGGAGATCCTTGCCGTCGAGAAATTAGAAATTGTAAAATTGCTTTCCCTGGCTCGAAGAGTTTGTCCTTCGCGGTGCGAACCCCGCCTCCTTGGTGTTCGGTAAGGCCGAACAGTTGGGGAAAACCAGTCGGGAAAGCTAATTATTAAATCAAACGTTAGTCATTGCTACCGCTTGGTGGTAAATAATCAGTCTGATCTCGAACATGTATTGCAGACAAGTAGTTGGAAACAATCGAAGGTTCGTTAACACGTCTAGTAATGATAATTCGATAGAAAAGAATATAAAAAGCGATATGACGTGTGGCGGTCGATGCTCCCTATCATTTCGTACGACTCGGTCGAGTACACCACGTGGCTGTTATCGAGAAGAGTCGAAAAGTATTTTACTTTAGACTCCACGCGGTATTCAACTTTGCTCGTTCATTGTCTATTGTAAATACAAAAACTGTGCACTTCACGCGGCAGGAAGTGACGCTTATCAGTATTGATTTTCGTTACTCGCCTGTTCCTAAGTATAATAAAAAGTATTTTGCTATAGTTCTATATTGACAATTGATAATCGAACATACTTGTACCATTCATTGTCAGTGTTTGTCTTCTTGGTCATTAGTCATTTATCTCATTCGGCAAAGTTTAAAGTATCTCCTATCATTGGCACGTGGTTTTATTAAAAAAAAAAAAAAAAAAAAAAAAACGAAAAAAATGTGGCTATCTTATCTGTAGCAGCAGTCTCGTTTCGAGTAATAAAGTTCCGAGAATTGGTATTAATATTCATGACTTGCCAATGATTGAAAATTAATAATTTAATAATTTGTAAAATGCAGATGAGAAAAATGATTAGTCATTTTAGCAAATAAATAGTAGCAGTATATTTAGACTCGCAAGATAACAATATATTTAGATACACAATGTAAATACAAATAGAAATGTATTTAGATACGTTGCATTCCGAAACGTGCGGAACAAAAAGTCTTTGAGCACAGCGTTCCAAATCATTTGGAGTTTTCCTCCATCACGCAGAAAACACGTGTAGATAAAATTGCTTTTCGGATATTGCTCGGATAATCTGACTATGGTCTGCCATAAAATTTAGTGTTCTAAAGTCCATTAGGCTCTACTAAACAATAATTCATATTGCCGAATATTGTGAAAATTTGCAAGAACAGCACGTACAATTCAAATAATACAATATTTGGCCTTGAAATATACGAACAAAGTGCCTTGAAATGAAATGGAAAGTTTAAATCAACTTTTAGTCACGTTTAGGAATAGAAACGTTCCTATAGTTATGTTCTCGGATTAAAGAACATCTCTTGTTTTATCTTTAAAACTGTATTTATTTAGTCGTTACTATTAAATACAATACTTTACAAACGCAAGAATTTCAGAAATTCTATCTTGCATTGACATTTATCGTTTCACGTTATACTTGACACGTACGTTATATTCAAATTACTTGGAGATTACTCAGAAATGACCAGGTTATCGCTAATGTTATTCAATATAGTATAATGAGCAATGACCAATGGTTTCTTATTGTTCCTCTTCAATGTGTGTGCATATCTAACTCTTATGGATTCGATGTGACTGAAATATTTATTGCACGATCTCTGTTAAGAAATATATTTCGATGTATATTTTTATTGATGTAACTTCTATTGACCAATTTTGTTCCGTTTATATTGAAGCACGTTTGAACAAAGATTTATTTGGGCATGGTCAAAACTTCCATGCACGTTCATTTGCAATTTGTATTATTGTTATTATTATTAATTTATATTTAATTCAACTATTGATTTTAATTTCATTATAAATTTTATTTAATAATGCGAAAGATATATTTATATTATTGTATTACTGATTGTATTATTATATATATGTTATTAATTTGTATTATAATTTCAATTACTATTCACATTATTAAATTCTTTTTAATAATATGAGAGACTTTGTATTATAATTTGTATTATAATTCCAATTACTATTCACATTATTAAATTCTTTTTAATAATATGAGAGACTTTTATCAAATTTCTTTTTAATAAAATGGATTTGCTTAATCTTTTTGCATGAGAAATTATCTTTTTGTCACGTCTTGCACCTAAATTACACAATTTTATAAAATTTCAAGAAACTTCAAGTACTTACAACTTTCATTACAAAATGTTAGCTTACATAATCTTAATTCATCGAGGATCAAGCGACATAAATTATAAATTTGTATAACTATTGCTTAATGAATTTGAGATTACTAAGAAAAAATCTTTCAAAGTAGCTATGTAATTTCTATTAATTGGCCAATTTTGAAGTTGAAGAGATGTTGAAGCTCAAAAGTAGTAATTCGTTTAATTACTATTGAAACTTTTATGTAACAAGGAGACATCGAGACGATAACAGTTTAAAAAAGAAAGTTCCTTTTACTTCTTTCACTATTATTGAAAGATGACGGAGACTCGTTTTCCGCCTTATTTTCGTCGTAAAATTCGTTGGCTACATACCAAATCGCAAGAAATTCCGCGGATTGCATCAGAAGCACGTGAGCCCGAACGATTAACATTTTAATGCTTTTCTCGCATGATTAAATTCCTATCTCATGTGAAATTAATTCGAAACAGTTTAATCGTTTGAAGACTGAATCACAATTTTTATGCTCTAAAGATTTGAAATTACTTTTTTAAAGTAATTGAGGCTAAATAGTCTCGTTTATAATTTACGTTCTTTACATTTATAAAGGGATAAATCATCTCTGTGTCTTTCTTCATCACGTATGATAACACGTAAGATAACTTCAGTATTTAATTATTATTTGTACATGAAACAAGATAAAAATTTTGTAAACTTGGAAAGGAAACGAGAATAGAAAAAGTTAAGTTCACAAGATAGTCTCACGATGGTATTATTATTATCTAGTTGTCGATATAATTATTGGACTGCGGATTTTTATACAAATTCATATTCTTCGGAATACGTATATTTACAAAATAGATGCTCGGTAGAAAATTTTTACGTGCCAAAAATGTTTTGCGTTCCAAAAGCATGTACATATATCCTGGATATTTTATATATATGTATATTTTTTATATATATTTTATATATATTCCATGCAAAATTTATTCTATGCAATTTTCCATTTTAAAATTTCTTAAATACGTAAATATGTAAAAATCCGCAGTTTTGTAATTATAAATATCAATAATCGAATTAAAATTAATTATTAATTTTATCAGATTAATCTATTGTTATAATGTAAATTCGTGTTAATGGAAAATATCTTTTAAGCTGTTAATTTGCGTGTTAAACGATTGACTCATCTTTCCATATATCTAAAATATAAAAAATTGTCGACACAATTTCAGTTTCACAAAAACACAATGATAATTTCTTATTATCAACTTAAAGTTGTTTTGCAATATTCCAATATTGGTCGTGGAACGCGTTTACAAGTGTGTAAGTCGTCGATAACTTATTACAACAAACATCTTCGTTCACACCAAAAATAACGAAGAATTACACTTATAGTGAATGAATTAAACTAAACACGATGTACACCATTGAAACAAATTCTTCATTGAAACATTCTCTGAAACAAATTCGACGAAATAATGCTATATAAGAATAAAATATGATTTCCAAATGTCACGAGGTTGAAGTTACAATAAGCTCGTTAGATAAACCGTGACATGTGATGAAAGAAAAAGTAATTAGATTTTGTTTATCGCTTAGTCTCTGTCTATATTATCGTGGCGAGTCAAATGAAAAGAAATAAAGAAGGTTGTGAACAATAACATCATTTAAACGAATTTTATATGTTAGCAGTTTATCGTACTTTGTCTAGTTTTCTCTTTGATTTTTTAAACAAGATGTATTCATTATTATTTTTTTTTTACAGTTAGCGATGGCCATTCACGCGTGGGTCCACAATATAGTAGCCTTAAAAGCGCAGTGGTACAAATTGTTAGGAGTGAAGGAGTCAAAGGACTCTATAGAGGGGTAACACCAAACGTTCTAGGATCTGGTGGTGCATGGGGTTTATACTTCTTTTTGTAAGGACTTTAAATGATCTAAATAATTTTATAACCGAAAGATTTTGATATAACTATTGTTAATAATACATGGGAATTGTTTTTATTTAGCTACAATAGCATTAAAGCATGGATCCAAGGAGGAAATAGCAAGAAGCCATTGGGGCCCTCACTGCACATGTTTGCTGCTGCAGATGCTGGAATTCTTACTTTAATTGTGACAAATCCACTTTGGGTGGTGAAGACACGTTTATGTTTGCAGTATATGGACGATAAACATCTTCCAGAAACGCTTAAATATAAAGGCACGGTAGATGCAATTAGAAAGATTTATAGAACTGAAGGATTTAGAGGCTTGTATCGAGTAAGTGAATTTTTTCTTAATGAAAAAAGAATATCTTTAATTATATCTTCTAAATGTATTTTTAAATGCTTATAGGGTTTTGTACCTGGAATGTTTGGTGTATCGCATGGTGCTATTCAATTTATGGTGTACGAAGAGCTGAAAAATTGGTACAACAATTATTTGAATGCACCAATTGATACTAGGCTGGTAAGAAAGCATACAATTATAAAATATATGCTGAATGGATTTGACATTTAAAAGGAGGTCATAATCAAAATATCTTTATTTGCAGAATACGTTTGAATATATCTTCTTCGCGGCGATTTCAAAATTGATTGCCGCGGCCTCGACTTATCCTTATCAAGTTGTTAGAGCACGCCTTCAAGATCATCACCACAACTATAATGGCAGTATACATTGCGTTCAATCGATATGGAGGTCAGAAGGAATAAGGGGTTTTTATAAAGGCTTAACTCCCTATCTTATACATGTTACACCAAATATTTGTTTAATTATCGTAATTTATGAAACATTTTCTAATGTGCCTACGCATTAATCTAAAATTTTTAAATGTTAGAAGAAAGCAAGAACGTATTAGTCCTATTTAAATATTCTATAATTTTTCAAGATAGAATTACACTTTGATATTGGTTGTTTTCCAGCCCGTAATGTAATTTTTAAGCTGATATTTGATAATTATTATTTGGAACAATTTTATGTGGATTGTACTTTAAAACTTTTTATTTCATTTTATCGTTTTATCTCATTCGTCAATTTGGAACAGTATTATTAAAAAAAAAAGATTATTTCTAAGCATATATATTTTATAGAAATGGCAAAATAATATATATATATATATTTGTTTTTATTTTCAAAGTGTAAATTTCTATCGGCTGCTTTTTATTCTTAATTAGAATCAGTTAATTGATAAAATAATATTGATTAAATATTCTTGAAGAATATTTTGTTTAACAAAACAAATATATTCCAGCAGCATAACAAAAAAAAAAAAAAAAAAAAAAGAGATTTATAATAGTTGTAATGACTTCAATCATTTAATTCATTCAAATAATATTCTTGAGAATTCTTTTTTGAAAAGTAACTTATACTATAATAACAAATAATATTGGGGATAATTTTGTTGTTTTTGATAATAGTACTTTATCGCAGTCTTTGAACGATAAATGCCTTGATATTCTAAGGATAGATATTTATTTAAATTTACTTAAATTTACTTAAATTTACTTTTGAGAACACAAACAATCCATTAGATTTTTTGATATTAGAATAATTAGAAACAGTCTCTAACATTTAGTATTTCATGATATGTACTTAGATGACTGTTTTGTGTAATAATGGAACATTTTAAAAACATAGCGATGACTAAAAACAGTTCTTAATTTTATTTTTGAAATATGCAATACTTTATATAGATCAATCATATATTTCATTTATTCAATATTTTGCGCATATAGAATAATTTTATTTATTTTTATGAAGCGCGAAAAAGAAAACGAGTTTTATATAAATTTTATAGAAATCTTTCTTATTAGCAATTTTTTTTTTTTTGAACTAACATTCAAATCGATAATGTCTATCATGTATTAAATATTTTCTTTTTAAAATAAAATTACATTTTGATAGCTTTACCGTAAACTAATATTGTTTGTAGCTTCATTAAAAATGGTTTCAAAAGAAAATATTTATACTCTTTCATTATATTATAAGAATGTAACTCGCGAAAGGTACAAAATGTAACAAAGAATAGAATATGAAAAAATCGCATGATTATATAAATCTATGAATAACAAATCATGTGTATACCTGAAACAATGGCAAATCATTTTTTAGTGCGAATATGTTACAAAAATTAATAGATAAATTACAAGTTTTCATGTCATTTGCAAATGTTAATCGCAAGTTTCAATTAAGAAGGTCGGCTGAGAAGTGCATAATGAACTTTTGTCTATATCTCGAGAACGAAAGCAATTATCGAAATGAAATAAAAAGGAAATAAAAGTACACTTTATTAGCTACAAAATATTTGTTTTTCTACATAATTACCGTTAATCTAAATATATTTTTGTCAATGCATCAGCGAAGAATTTTGGCTGTCTACTTTTAATAAAAGAAGTCATTGCTGCCTTGATTTCATTGTCCGACTTAAAATGAGTATCCTTGCTCTTTTCAATTTTAGAAACGTTGCTTGAATTTCGGTTGCATCGTAACTATATTGAACCTCGCTCTGAATGACACTGTTCTTCAAGTAAACTTATCGATATTTGGCATGTTTATAAAAGAGAGGGCTATAAAGTGAGTGCTCACGCAGAAGTATACATTTTTCTTTTGTTCTGGAGATACAGACGAGTCGACTCTTGTAAAAGTAAATGAAATGGAAGTGTGCGTAGGAATGTAATAATTATCTGCAATTTAATTATTACCTGTTATAGTTCTGTATGCAATGAATAAGTACCTCGTTTTGAGAAATCAGATAAATATTGCAAAGTTTGTCGTAGAGTCTGGTACTCGGGTCGATTGACGATGTAGCAATAACATTCGATATTCTTACAATTTTCAAACAGTAGGTTTAATTTATTTATATGAATTTCTAGTTAGACTGGGACTCATGACTTATAAATTACTTAATAAAGATTGGCAGCAGCACTTAATTGTTTCTAATGATAAGTTAGCTGCTGGATCATTTAGATACCCTTTCTTTTTACAATAACAAGCGCAATGCTTTTAATATTAATATCTCTTGAACTGAATAGAACAAATAGAAAAATATTTGTCGAACGATCAGGAATCTGAAGGATGTTGACTTTGTATCGGTTTACATATTTTTCTTTGCCAAATGTAACATCGTGGCGATCGCCTGTTCTATCTCCTCCCTTGATTACTACGAATGAAATCAATTGCTGTGGCGGGACCACAGTTATTAAACGCACGAATAAACAATATTTAAAAGAGCAATGTGTTTGTGTATGTTTTGATGAGTGCGTGTGTATGTGAGACATGGAATGTAACTATGATTAGACGGATCATTTGTTAGACCACCAGCGGTACGATTTTTGGACGTATGATTTATGAAGTTGTATGTGTATCTACAACATATCAAAAAATTGAAACCATCTGAGAAATAAACTATGTAGAATTGGAATTGTCTAGATTTTGAGAAACTCCTTTCATCCGCTTTAGTTTTACACGTAAAAATGATTTCAACAAACTAAATGAAATTTATAAAAAAATCTTTTAACATCGACTACTAACAACTAAGAACATTAATTGAAATACATAACGAAGTTATATCATGTGATTAACTTTGAAACGTTGAACAATAAAAGTATTATTGTTCAACGTTTAGAATTCTCATGACGTACGATTACTTTCTTTCAGATAAAAGTAGAGAAAGAGAAATGGACATGCTTTGATTAGGAATCACGACAAGAATCGTACGCCGGTTCAAGTTTAGTGCAAATGAAAACGTGCATTGTAGTACATTGAAAAAGCTCTACGTAATTAACGATGGAGAAAGAGGAAACAATTAACAAAAGAGTATTGCTGGTGGTTAATTGCAGGTATGAAGGGTGGCGAGGATTTTACAAGGGTCTAAGTGCGAACCTGACCAGGGTGACTCCAGCCACTGTGATCACGTTCGTGGTGTACGAAAACGTGTCTCACTATCTGCGTGAAAGGATGGATCAAGAACGAGCTTTGCCAATTTTGATCAAGAATATAGAAGAGAATACTAAAATTTAGAAATTGTACTGCGAGAGAAATCGTGAAAAAAAAAATTTATTTGCTAAAATAGTCGATATGGATGCGATTATGACGTGTGAAAATTTTTATTCAAATTATAATAATGCAGAATGGAATGCATTTAATCAATTTGTAAGCAAAAATGTATTTTTTTAGGGAATTCATTTTGATATCTATGAAATTTTGGCTAAATTTTGGTTTTTCAGCGCATCATTCTATACATGCATGTTCATGAATTTGTGATGTTGAGTATCACTGTCCACTGTTATTGCGAATACTAATTGTGAATATAGTGACAAGATTTCTTAATGCTAATCAAGTACTTTTACTCGTCTTATGAAACTCTGAACGTCGTTATAATGAGATTACTATTATTATTACAAATTGCATACGCACATATCTTTTCATTCACGAAACTTTTATTTAAAACATATTCCGATAATTCGGAATGAATTAGCTTCCATGATAGTTTTTTCCTATTGTTAATTATTAAGTAATCTTAAGTATTCTTATTTTACTGTTTCATTGTTGGAAGAACAATGGGCATTTTTACGTAAATACGATTTCAGCTCCGTATAGACAAAAATGTGTGGTACTCTATTATTGTTAGTGATTTCCAATGTACAATAAAACAATATAGAACCGTATAAAGTTATAAAATGTGGAGAAGTTCGTTATTAATGTCTTTAGTCATTATAATGAATTGCAAAAATAAATTGCTTGCTAAGACAAGAACCAGATTATTTGTATTTATAGAGAATTTATTTAAAGATATATATTTTTTTTACAAAGAACAATTACAAGATAATCTTACTCATATCATACAAAAGGATATCATGTTTCGTATAAATCATGTTTATCACGCGATGAAGAAGTGTACTTCACAAGCAACAAGATACACATGCATGACGTGGAAGTGTTAGGTGAGAAAATTACGTAAAAGAATTTGAAAAATTCAATAAAAGCTGTTTGATATTTATTATTAAAAATACAAAAATTATTTTTTTCTGCAGGTTCTCATGATTTGAATATACAACTGATTAAATAGTGTTTAACTATGATTTCAAACTTAGGATTTCAGTTTCGTTAATGTTCGCTCATGGGTCGAAAATGCTCATTATTCTCTGCATTAATTTAGATAAATCTCTTTATATAAGTAAAAAAATATCGAAAAATTGTATATATATTTATTTCTTAGTAATAAATTATGTGGATATTTTATTAAAGTTTTGAATTTGTTAACTAATTTGAAAATGTTCCTCGAAACGAATACAGAGTAGAAGAAGGTACACATATATTTTCGATTCAATAAATATTATGTAGCGTGCCGATCTGACTTCGACCTATAAGTAGCGTGCAGATCGGTGGCTTGCTGTCTTTCAACGTTAATGAAAGTCAGCTGATTCACAAGATAGAGTTGTTTCACAGTTAGATTGGTAGGATTGAGAAATGTAAGTTGTAAGAGGAACATTGATAAAATTTGAGTGAGTTTGATAGTCGAACTTTGACCTGTCGTACGTCGATGGGTTGCTCCAAAACCTGTGTGTGTTGCGCGATTGTCAAAACTTGACTTTTTCTTGTACGTTAGTCTTATATAGCTGGATTCTATGGTTTAAGGAGGTATGTTAGTTGCTTCCAGATGTGAGTGAGGTTAGTCCCAGAACGTAGTAACTGCACTTCCTAACGGTCCCAGAATGTGTCCCTCGCAATATGGATTTATGGATGTCGTAAAAAAGTTGCGATAAAGTCCTTCATCGAGCCTTAAAATTGAATGTCAAGCATGACGAATCTTGGAATTGGTAGTCCGGTGTGACTACAATAGAAGATACAAGGTAACGAAGGGTAAAAATATGATCACGGGAGATCCCTGCCGTCGAGAAATTAGAAATTGTAAAATTGCTTTCCGTGGCTCGATGAGTTTGTCCTTCGCGGTGCGAACCCCGCCTCCTTTGTGTTCGGCAAGACCGAACATATTACGATATTATAACAAAAAAAAAAAATGTTTATCACTCGACGACGAAAAATATTATTTGTCAGGACGGTGTGGTATAACATTCTTTATGCATTCTTTAACAACCTCATTATTGGACGACAGTATTATGAAGATTGCGTTTAATATTGTGGCTACTTCAACTATTATCGTTAAGATCATGGCGCCTTATCAAGGCTAATGGACTTTCAGGGCATTTTTTATAGCGGTAATTGCAATCTTTCGTATACTCAGCCTCGGTGACCTCGCTCGGAAGATTTTCATTTTGCGAAGAAGATGGCCTATGATGAAAATTATACAACACTTAAATACAAAAATAGCTTTTGAACATAAAATAGAGTAATGTGTCTGAAGAACATGCTTCGAAAATGTTTCTAATTTCTAATTTGCTCAATTTATCGAAATTTTTTTATTAAAACTGCACATACAGTAAAGTCTGTTCAGCACTTACGTAAATAAAATTTGCAACACATCGCCAAGCACCCCGTTACTAGTTAAAGGGTAGTTGGCAACTTCACAGATCATTTTTAGTAAACAATATTTCCCAGAATAGCCAAAACTATAAAAAAGAATATTGTAATTTCTTTTTTTTTTTGCGTAATTTAATCAGAATTTATTGTTTCACGTTTCATTTCTGATCAATTTCTTCACCTTTCTAATTTGTTCATGAGGATATCGTACGCCAATCGTCGATTCAGACTTCGTTTCTTGAGATGCGGATCGTCTAAGTAATAAGTAGAATTCCATTCTCCTGGGAGAGCGTAATTCGCTTCGAAGGTCAAAGAGAATGACACAGCTTTGCCGGGAATATCAAGGGGTACTCCGAGAGCGAAGAATATCTGCATACGTAAGACATTTTTTCCATGATAACTATTGATATCAATATAGAACTGCATTGAAACGATCCTTATACGACACGCATTTAAAAATTACTGGGGTGAGAGTTCGGATATCAAATATCAATTTAACGAATGAAAAAAATTTTCTATCTACGAAAAATTAATGATTTATTCTCTACTTCACCCCTGTGCCGCTGCCTTCGGGAAATCCAATAGATCTAAGGTGCCTTGCTACCCCATGCGTGATGTTTTTCACTCCTGAAACTCGCGATACCCACATGAGATAACACACGACAATGTATATCGTGACTGACCGTCCGGAAGGAACACGAATCTGGTCCGTCATATTCGGAATACCATCGGTGAATGAGTTGTTTCAACTTGAACTATGTTTTACAAGTCGAAGATAGAAGAAATCGTTGGAAGTCATATTTCACCAAGTACGTCGCGTTAATCAACCAAAGTTTGCCCGAATCGTTTGCTTCATTTTTTTTCTTTTTTTTTCTTTTATTAAACGAAACGCTATGTACATACGTAAGATCGTAAGCGAGACGTGATTTAACGCTACAATATATACGATGAATGTTTACGAGCGAGTTAATAATTATATTTAACGGACAGTAATTGGATTAATTCGCGTGTATGTGTGAATCACTGATTCCGCTACACTTTTGCGCGGACAACGAGCCGGGGGACAAACATTGAAGACCGAGTCTAAAAAGAGTTATTGAATCGTCCAATCTTAATGTTAGAAGTGAAATTTCAATCTATTTCGCTGTAGTAGTTCAGGCAACGACCATTTTGCTAGCTCGCCGGGGATCCATTTCGTAAATTTGCAAAATCTTCTCGAATTGATGCGCAACGAGAGGCGCGTTTATCATCAGGAGGGGCCGTTTAAAACAATTCAAACACACAGCTTGGACCAGATCAGTATGCATTAGCTACCAAATTGAATTAATCATCGAATCGCAATGCGGCTGTGTTGCCGCGTTGTTTAGCGCGTTCCAGATTCAACGGTGAACTTGTAATTATTATTCTCTGGAACTTTGCGCGTGCCCCGCAGTTGAATAATACGCGGAAACCTGGACTCCGTACGCCGTAGGGCTTTGAATATCTGGGACAAAGTTACTCGCTGGAAACACGCATATGCCCGGCCGAAGATACATCATTGATTAGCGGCTGTGCGAATTCACCGTTCGTGAATTTCGTCGCCATACGTACATGTACCTGCGCCTTGCACCGTACGACGTTCGACTCTAGCTAGTAGGTGGTTGGTCCTAATTCGAGTTGTGTCGCTACACTGCGGGAAACAACGGCGAAAATTCATGACTCTGCAGTATTAACACGCAACGATCGTCGCATTCCTCTCTAAGCGTTGCCAATTTTGCAAGAAATTCTTTTGTATTTAAATGATCGCTTTGTTATTAGTACAATAAATGAAAAATACGAGCATACAAAACAGAGTGTTTTATCATTATTTCGCCATGTCGACTAATCAAAAAGTTTTTGGTTACAACAGATATTGTTTGGTACAAAGGGGTGTCTTATGTCGCGCAAATTATCTTTTTGCAGCGGTGAGGGGAAATTTTAAGATTGAATTAATTTTTTTTAGATAGAAACATATTTTTTCGTTGGTCAAAGATAGGATAGAGATAGAACGCAGACGAGGTATATGAATAGGCCTTGCATCTTATGGGAACTGTCCCATGATCTAAAATACTGACATAATAAGAAATCAGTAGTTTCTTTAGCGCATCTCTTGCTTAAACAACGGTAAATTTAAGAACTATCAAGTAAAACGATAGAAGTTGATCAAGTAGTAAATGCACCAGAAACATGATTTTTGAAATCCATTACAATGTTGTCAAATTTTGGAATGTTGTCAAATATGGAAATGTGAAGTTAAACTAACTGAAATCATTCTACTATATATCATGAAGAACTCTATCCATGTTTTATGGAATTATGATGGTTTTTTTTTCATATAGTGAATTAAAATTCTAAGTTATTAATAAAATATTAAAGAACTTATCAACTCAAATAAATTTTGTCGAAAGTTTGATATGTGGGAATCCGTTTGGTTCAATCTCGGACGAACTTACTTCTGTAGGATAAAATAAAAAGATATTTATGTGGAATAATTTGGGCATTTTGTAAACGCAACGCTACTTTAAGAAACGCGATCATTCATTATCGCAACACTAACAAGAGACAAAGTAATTGGAAATCGCGATGAAATAATGTCGCAACACTAACTCTAAAACCAAATTGAATGAAANGAAACAGGTTGGACACGCGAAAAGGGGACACGCGACCAGAGACTGTGCCAACCTGCCCGGCCCTACCTACTTATAATTAAACACAGGCATACCAGAAAGTAAACTACCTATCCTAACAATCGCCCTATATTTAAAAATGGCAAAAGACAGGCACACCAACACATTCACTCCACGGTTCTCACACATACCACTCGGGCGCAAAGACCTAAACTAGAGAGGATGTCCCGGGACACCTCCGACACCCGAGCTTAACACACAACATTCACACTCTAATTTACGTACCATTTTCCTGAAATCGACTGACGAAGGCTAGCGACCATTGCGTAAAACGTGATTAAAACACCTTTATATTTACAGCTAATATTTTATTATTTACAGCTTAATATTATCCCAATTTTAATTAAATATTCATGATCATATTGTAAATATCCATAATATTTGAAATAGATAGTACAAAGTTGAGAATTATTATATGTATACTGCTTGAAATAATAGTAAAATCGACGCAATTCCACATCCTAACCACATACACACATGCAAAAACTGCGTCGT